CATCCTTGGAGAGCTCTTTGGTCTTGGCCATGGTGGAGAGTTTGGAATCTGATTGATTGATTGCTTCTGGGGACAGGCGTCTTTTACAGTGGGGAAAAAAAGTATTTAGTCAGCCACCAATTGTGCAAGTTCTCCCACTTAAAAAGATGAGAGAGGCCTGTAATTTTCATCATAGGTACACGTCAACTATGACAGACAAAATCCAGAAAATCACATTGTAGGATTTTTTATGAATTTATTTGCAAATTATGGTGGAAAATAAGTATTTGGTCACCTACAAACAAGCAAGATTTCTGGCTCTCAAAGACCTGTAACTTCTTCTTTAAGAGACTCCTCTGTCCTCCACTCGTTACCTGTATTAATGGCACCTGTTTGAACTTGTTATCAGTATAAAAGACACCTGTCCACAACCTCAAACAGTCACACTCCAAACTCCACTATGGCCAAGACCAAAGAGCTTTCAAAGGAAACCAGAAACAAAATTGTAGACCTGCACCAGGCTGGGAAGACTGAATCTGCAATAGGTAAGCAGCTTGGTTTGAAGAAATCAACTGTGGGAGCAATTATTAGGAAATGGAAGACATACAAGACCACTGATAATCTCCCTCGATCTGGGGCTCCATGCAAGATCTCACCCCGTGGGGTCAAAATGATCACAAGAACGGTGAGCAAAAATCCCAGAACCACACGGGGGGACCTAGTGAATGACCTGCAGAGAGCTGGGACCAAAGTAACAAAGCCTACCATCAGTAACACACTACGCTGCCAGGGACTCAAATCCTGCAGTGCCAGACGTGTCCCCCTGCTTAAGCCAGTACATGTCCAGGCCCGTCTGAAGTTTGCTAGAGTGCATTTGGATGATCCAGAAGAGGATTGGGAGAATGTCAGATGAAACCAAAATAGAACTTTTTGGTAAAAACTAAACTCGTCGTGTTTGGAGGACAAAGAATGCTGAGTTGCATCCAAGAACACCATACCTACTGTGAAGCATGGGGGTGGAAACATCATGCTTTGGGGCTGTTTTTCTGCAAAGGGACCAGGACGACTGATCCGTGTAAAGGAAAGAATGAATGGGGCCATGTATCGTGAGATTTTGAGTGAAAACCTTCTTCCATCAGCAAGGGCATTGAAGATGAAACGTGGCTGGGTCTTTCAGCATGACAATGATCCCAAACACACCGCCCGGGCAACGAAGGAGTGGCTTCGTAAGAAGCATTTCAAGGTCCTGGAGTGGCCTAGCCAGTCTCCAGATATCAACCCCATCGAAAATCTTTGGAGGGAGTTGAAAGTCTGTGTTGCCCAGCGACAGCCCCAAAACATCACTGCTCTAGAGGAGATCTGCATGGAGGAATGGGCCAAAATACCAGCAACAGTGTGTGAAAACCTTGTGAAGACTTACAGAAAACGTTTGACCTGTGTCATTGCCAACAAAGGGTATATAACAAAGTATTGAGAAACTTTTGTTATTGACCAAATACTTATTTTCCACCATAATTTGCAAATAAATTCATTAAAAAATCCTACAATGTGATTTTCTGGATTTTTTTTTCTCATTTTGTCTGTCATAGTTGACGTGTACCTATGATGAAAATTACAGGCCTCTCTCATCTTTTTAAGTGGGAGAACCTGCACAATTGGTGGCTGACTAAATACTTTTTCCCCCACTGTATACAGGTAACAAACTGAGATTAGGAGCACTCCCTTTAAGAGTGTGCTCCTAATCTCAGCTCGTTACCTGTATAAAAGACACCTGGGAGCCAGAAATCTTTCTGATTGAGAGGGGGTCAAATACTTATTTCCACCATTAAAATGCAAATCAATTTATAATATTTTTGACATGCGTTTTTCTGGATTTCTGTCTCTCACTGTTCAAATAAACCTACCATTAAAATTATAGACTGATCATTTCTTTGTCAGCGGGCAAACGTACAAAATCAGCAGGGGATCAAATACTTTTTTCCCTCACTGTATGTTACCTGCACTGCTCATTGCACGTTCTACATGAGGGCCTTGACATTTGTGAGTGTATCTGTGTTTCTATCCCCCTCCTGACTGGTTATGTACTCTGCTCTCTTCTCCAGAGGCCCTGCCCCTACTGGTGGGAGTGATCCAGTCTCCAGACTCCAAGGTCAAGGAGAATGTCAACGCCACAGAGATCTGCATCTCAGCCGTGGGCAAGGTCATGAGGTTCAGGCCCGAGTGTGCCAACGTCAACGAGATCCTTCCCCATTGGCTCTCCTGGCTGCCACTCAACGAAGACAAGGAGGAAGCTGTGCACACCTTCGACTTCCTGTGTGACCTTATTGAAAGGTGGGGGACTGACTTTACTGATTTGGGTTGTTCATTAGGCTCTGAACGGTAGTTAACTAACAAATGGGGAGTAACTAATTGAACTTAGCCAATAAGAAATGTTTTATTTAGCTTTCTGTTGCTATGAGTTTAGACATTTTCCATTGTGTCGACCTAATGAACGTGACCTATTTTTACTCTGTGGCTGTGGTAACTAGTGTAACCCATGGTTTATCTTGCTGTTTAGTTTCACTTTCTCTTAGTTTAGCTATTGGAACAGATCACTTCAAACCACAACTGCAATACAGTCAACAGACAATTATCCCATAGCTGCAATACAGGGAACAGAAAAGTATCCCATAGCTGCAATACAGGGAACAGAAAATTATCCCATAGCTGCAGGGTAAGTCTACTTTCCTCATTTCCTTTCATTGACAATTCATGTTCAACATGAACACCATAACTATCATTTACAGTTGTGTGGGTGTCACAAAGGGTTTTGTGATCATTTAATATTCTATGTCTACAACGGGAATAAACAGTAAACATGGTTAAGTGGAAACTGGCAGTGCAGAATTTAATGGAATGTTTTTTAGATTAGTAATTCAATGAATGTAGAATAAAACAGAGGCAGTAAGTACATTTACACTAACACATTGCTTTCACTTTCTAATTCCAAGAAATCATATGTTCCACTAGAAGGACTGAGGTTGCAGAGTACTCTAGTGCCAGATATTGTGAAAGATTAGAGAAAAAAGTTAATGTTTAGAATGTGAAATAGCTTCACGCTGCTGTACCCAGTTTGGACCATAGAGAAAGATAAGTTATCTTAATAATTTGTATACTGGTTGTAGTTTTATTATCCTGAATGTATCTATCTAGACTAATAAACCCATTTGTCTGTTCATTCACTTTCTATAGATCCATGTTGGAACACAGAGGTAATTTTCAACAGGGCTCTTCTGTATAATTTAAGATTTTGATTAAGGGGTGCACTGTAAAGTAAACGGTTAAACCTACAATACTCTTATAGCTGGCTGATCTACAGTGAGGGAAAAAAGTATTTGATCTCCTGCTGATTTTGTACGTTTGCCCACTGACAAAGAAATGATCAGTCTATAATTTTAATGGTAGGTTTATTTGAACAGTGAGAGACAGAATAACAACAAAAAAATCCAGAAAAACGCATGTCAAAAATGATATAAATTGATTTGCATTTTAATGAGGGAAATAAGTATTTGACCCCTCTGCAAAACATGACTTAGTACTTGGTGGCAAAACCCTTGTTGGCAATCACAGAGGTCAGACGTTTTTTGTAGTTGGCCACCAGGTTTGCACACATCTCAGGATGGATTTTGTTCCACTCCTCTTTGCAGATCTTCTCCAAGTCATTAAGGTTTCGAGGCTGACGTTTGGCAACTCGAACCTTCAGCTCCCTCCAAAGATTTTCTATGGGATTAAGGTCTGGAGACTGGCTAGGCCACTCCAGGACCTTAATGTGCTTCTTCTTGAGCCACTCCTTTGTTGCCTTGGCCGTGTGTTTTGGGTCATTGTCATGCTGGAATACCCATCCACGACCCATTTTCAATGCCCTGGTTGAGGGAAGGAGGTTGTCACCCAAGATTTGACTGTACATGGCCCCGTCCATCGTCCCTTTGATGCGGTGAATTTGTCCTGTCCCCTTAGCAGAAAAACACACCCAAAGCATAATATTTCCACCTCCATGTTTGACGGTGGGGGATGGTGTTCTTGGGGTCATAGGCAGCATTACTCCTTCTCCAAACATGGCGAGTTAAGTTGATGCCAAAGAGCTCCATTTTGGTCTCATCTGACCACAACACTTTCACCCAGTTCTCATCTGAATCATTCAGATGTTCATTGGCAAACTTCAGACGGGTATGTATACGTGCTTTCTTGAGCAGGGGGACCTTGCGGGCGCAGCAGGATTTCAGTCCTTCACGGCGTAGTGTGTTACCAATTGTTTTCTTGGTGACTATGGTCCCAGCTGCCTTGAGATCATTGACAAAATCCTCCCGTGTAGTTCTGGGCTGATTCCTCACCGTTCTCATGATCATTGCAACTCCACGAGGTGAGATCTTGCATGGAGCCCCAGGCCGAGGGAGATTGACAGGTCTTTTGCGTTTCTGTTGTCACCTTCTCACCAAGCTGCTTCTTGATGGTCTTGTAGCCCATTCCAGCCTTGTGTAGGTCTACAATCTTGTCCCTGACATCCTTGGAGAGCTCTTTGGTCTTGGCCATGGTGGAGAGTTTGGAATCTGATTGATTGATGGCTTCTGTGGACAGGTGTCTTTTATACAGGTAACACACTGAGATTATGAGCACTCCCGTTAAGAGTGTGCTCCTAATCTCAGCTCGTTACCTGTATAAAAGACACCTGGGAGCCAGAAATCTTTCTGATTGAGAGGGGGTCAAATACTTATTTCCCTCATTAAAATGCAAATCAATTTATAACATTTTTGACATGGGTTTTTCTGGATTTTTTTGTTGTTATTCTGTCTCTCACTGTTCAAATAAACCTACCATTAAAATTATAGACTGATCATTTCTTTGTCAGTGGGCAAACGTACAAAATCAGCAGGGGATCAAATACTTGTTTCCCTCACTGTATGATCCAAATATCCATTGTTCCAATTAACACCAACATTAATACTTTTATAAATAACGTTTTTGATTTCTCTCTCTTGTCTAAGTGGCATACAAGATGAGGTACTACACAGTTGAGACTGGCAGTACTTTGGAATCTCGTATTCAGTTTATGAGACGACTCAACAACACCACAATATGTTTTACGGAAGTCAAGTCTCCGATGGAGAGTGATGTCATCATGGCTTTCTGTCCCATCGTCTCCCGCGCTGGGACTGATATTGAAGCAGCACTGGAACAGATTCCAAGTACAGTAACTCATCCCAAATATGACTTCCCAAGCAATGTTATTTCCTTCTATACAAGATATTCTCATTCCACACCAGATTTACTCAAAATGTACCAACGACATGAATTACATTACTAAATTGTTTATTTTAGATGCTTATTGGTTTATTTTGACGTATTCCCTCATTCTCTTGACAGCTGGTAAAGATGTCATTCTGGTGGTGCTGCATCACACCTTCAACCCAGACTTCACTGTACCTGACAGCAGCAGACTAGTGACCAGAAGTGATGTAATAATGACAGTGGACTGTCTGTTCCATGAGAGCCAGGGAGGACTACTGGACTGTTCTCGCAATGATGCAGCAGTCAAAACGATTAAGCAGAAGCTAGACATAGCTCTTATGGTATGATATCAATTAATCATAATTTTGAATACATCATCTCTGTATTTGATGTACTAATTTTTCCTCTCTTTTTTTTTACAGGCCAGAAATTGTGGCTGTCCATCTTGGATTCTAAGCTTTGTTAAAGTATGTCAAATCATTGCAAATTATAAAGTAACTATACATCAGCAACTACTACACTGAACAAAAATATAACGCTACATGCAACAATTTCACAGATTTTACTGAGTTACAGTTCATATAAGGAAATCAGTCAATTGAAATAAATTCATTAAACCCTAATCTATGGATTTCACATGACTGGGAATACAGATATGCATCTGTTGGTCACAGATACCCTAAAAAAATGGTAGGGGCGAGGATCAGAAAACCAGTCAATATCTGGTGTAACCACCATTTGCCTCATGTAGCGTGCCACATCTCCTTCACATAGAGTTGATCAGGCTTTTGATTGTGGCCGTTGGAATGTTGTCCCACTCCTCTTCAATGGCTGTGTGAAATTGCTGGATATTGGCGGGAACTGGAACGCACAGTTGTACACGTCAATCCAGAGCATCCCAAACATGCTCAATGAGTGACATGTCTGGTGAGTATGCAGGCCATGGAAGAACTGGGACATTTTCAGCTTCCAGGAATTGTGTACAGATCCTTGCGACATGGGGCCGTGCATTATCATGCTGAAACATTAGGTGATGGCGGTGGATGAATGGCACGACAATGGGCCTCTGGAGCTCGTCACGGTATCTCTGTGCATTCAAATTGCCATCGATAAAATGCAATAGTGTTCGTTGTCCGTAGCTTATGCCTGCCCAGAACATAACCCAACTGCCACCATGGGGCACTCTGTTCACAACGTTGACATCCGAAACCGCTGGCCAACATGATGCCATACACGTGGTCTGCGGTTGTGAGGGCGGTTTAATCTAAAAAAGACATTGGAGGCGGCTTATGGTAGAGAAATTAACATTAATTTATCTGGCAACAGCTCTGGTGGACATTCCTGCAGTCAGCATGCCAATTGCCTGCTCCCTCAAAACATGAGACATCTGTGGCATTGTGTTGTGACACAACCCAGCACAAGGTGCACCTGTGTAATGATCATGCTGTTTAATCAGCTTCTTGATATGCCACACCTGTCAAGTGGATGGATTATCTTGGCAAAGGAGAAATGCTCACTAACAGGGATGTAAACAAATTTGTGCACAAAATCTGAGAGAAATAAGCTTTTTGTGCGTATGGAACATTTATGGGATATTTTATTTCAGCTCATGAAACATGGGACCAACACTTTACATGTTGCGTTTATATTTTTGCTCAGTGTATATTAAATATCCTCCTTTCTGTCTAGTGATGGGGAGACACTTTAAATAGAAGTCAAACTTATGGATGGCATCTGCCATAATGTAGCTATTTAAACAAAAGTCAGAACTGCAGCGTATCTCTGAAGCAGACAGGTCACTTTCAAATCATTATTTTCTTTCCAGTGGTTACGGTTTTCATGCTGCAGCTGCCTTCGTACAGTTTCTTTCAGGATGTGGCTCTTCTGTGGCAAAAGTAGGTTCCAGTAGGTTTAAAGGATTCATTAATATCATCATTGTAATTACAGTAATAATCACAGGTCAAATCAACACTAACATCTTTTGTTTTATGTTTTCTAATATTTTCAAGATCTTTGTCCCTCTACAAGACCACGTTCCAGAAATTTTGATGAAGAGTATTCACTTTTGGCCTAACAATGAACACATGATAATATTTAGTTTGATTTCTGTAAATTAGGCCTGGCTATATCAATGTAACATTGTTCATTAAATGAATGGAAAATAATAAAGAAGAGGCAGGATCTGTGGAAGGGCACGTGTCTTAACATCACTGGTTATACCCTAGAGTCTATGTGTCAATCTGAGTAACACAAATAAGGGGTTAAATACTATATGTGTAAAGAAATATATACAGTGCCAGTCAAATGTTTGGACACACCTACTCATTGCAGGGTTTTTCTTTATTTTTACTATTTTCTACATTGTAGAATAATAGTTAAGACATCAAAACTATGAAATAACACATATGGAGTCATGTAGTAACCAAAAAAGTGTTAAACAAATCAAAACATATTTTGTATTTGAGACTGTTCAAATAGCCACCCTTTGCCTTGATGAGTGTGCCTTGAATTCTAAATAAATCACAGACAGTGTCACCAGCAAAGCACCCCCATACCATAACACCTCCTCCTCCATGCTTTACGGTGGGAAATACACATGCAGAGATCATCCTTTCACCCACACCGCGTCTCACAAAGCCACGGCGGTTGGAACCAAAAATCTCAAATTTTGACTCCAGACCAAAGGACAGATTTCCACAGGTCTAATGTCCATTACTCGTGTTTCTTGGCCAAAGCAGTTCTCTTCTTCTTATTGGTGTCCTTTAGTAGTGGTTTCTTTGCAGCAATTCGACCATGAAGGCCTGATTCACACAGTCCCCTCTGAACAGTTGATGTTGAGATGTGTCTGTTACTTGAACTCTGTGAAGCATTTATTTGGGCTGCAATTTCTGAGGCTGGTAACTCTAATGAACTTATCCTCTGCAGCAGAGGTAACTCTGGGTCTTCCATTCCTGTGGCGGTCCTCATGAAAGCCAGTTTCATCATAGTGCTTGATGGTTTTTGCGACTGCACTTGAAGAAACGTTCAATGTTCTTGAAATGTTCCGTATTGACTGTCCTTCATGTCTTAAAGTAATGATGGACTGTTGTTTCTCTTTGCTTATTTGAGCTGTTCTTGCCATAATATGGACTTGGTCTTTTACCAAATAGGGCTATCTTCTGTATACCCCCCCTACCTTTTCACAACACAACTGATTGGCTCAAACGCATTAAGAAGGAAAGAAATTCCACAAGTTAACTTTTAAGAAGGCACACCTGTTAATTGAAATCCATTCCAGGTGACTATCTCATGAAGCTGGTTGAGAGAATGCCAAGAGTGTGCAAAACTGTCATCAAGGCAAAGGGTGTCTATTTGAAGAATCTCAAATATAAAATATATTTTGATTTGTTTAACACTTTTTTGGTTACTACATGAGTCCATATGTGTTATTTCATAGTTTTGATGTCTTCACTATTATTCTACAATGTAGAAGAAAAACCATTGAATGAGTAGGTGTGTCTAAACTTTTGACTGGTACTGTATATATTTCCTGAGCTTTCTTATATCTCTTAGATATAGTTCAGACACTTCAAAAACCTTATTCCTTATGAATTTCATATGTCATCTTAGAATTAAAACGTTAGTACATGCATCCCACTTCTGACACCAGTGTAGTGAACAGTGGCAGAACCCGGGTTGCCTGACTCAAGGAACACTTGATTGCCACAAACATCATAGGGATAGCTATGTATTTTGGAGGAGTTTGTAACAAGCATACAAAGGCTTCACTATTTTTGCAGTAGTTCAATCACTGAGCTGAGCTCAAAAGTGAGGGAAAAGGTTTTTGAACAAAACATTCCGAGGGCAACATTGCATTCTGGGACGTGTCCCCTGGTCGGGTTGTTGAAGTCAAGATGGCTGTAAACACCAAACGGAGACTAGAGCATGAAATAGGCCTTAAATGAAGTTACTTATTCAATAAAATCGTCCACCAACGCCAAGATCATTTAGCAGAAACATAACGTTTTGCTGAACATTTATCCAACCTGTAGAGGAAGTGTTCATTCATACAGATACACAGGATCACGAGCAACTGCGGGATAAAGTCTCGTATGAATTCCGACGAGAGGGACTGTGAGTGTGCGCCACCACAGGCCGAGACATCCCCTGCAGGAGGATACCACAGGTCGGCATGGATATAAATAGAGTGTCGTGGTTGGGGGAGCAATGCATGTTTTGTATCGTAGCAATGAAATGTTTCCCAACTTGTGGTTTCTGGCTAGCTAGCTATGTGACTGAAATGTAAAATGAAGTGAAAGTGCAACTGTCCTGCAGATTTCCAGGTAGGTAGCTAGGTAACTAGTTAACGTAGCCATCTACCTTAGATAGGCCTGAAAAGTGAATTTAGCAACCCCTAGTTGGATAGCTAGTTATTAACATAACTGTTAGGTAGCTAGTTCGTTTGCTGTTCTGATTTCACGTTAGCGTACAGCTACGACGAGGTATTGCAGAATTGTAACTATGTTACCGAAAATATTAGCTAGTTAGCTCACTATTGTATTATCAGCTGTCTATCACCTGAACGAATTTGCCGGCTAGTCGAAAAGCTAGTTAGCAAGCAAGCTGCACTGTCATCACTTGTCTGCGTAGCAACTGCTACACTAGTTAGCAACGTAACTACTTGTGTTGTCTTGCTAGATGTTATACTTCACGTCCAGATTTCACGATCAACGCGGGATAATCGTTGAATTCCGAGAGAGGTGTGTACGCCACCTGTAAAGATATGATGTGCCTACTGAACTAAAATTAACGAAGGTGGCCATACATGTCTATGAATGAAAGAGCACCACGCGTCTTAACATCACTGGTTATACCTAGAGTCTATGTGTCATGAGAACACCAATAAGGGTTAATACTATAGTGAAAAAATATATACAGTGCCAGTCAATGTTTGGACCACCTACTCATTGCAGGTTTTCTTTATTTTACTAGTTTCTACATGTAATAATAGTTAAGACTCAAAACTATGAAATAACACATATGGAGTCATGTAGTAACCAAAAAAGTGTTAACAACATCAAAACATATTTTGTATTTGAGACTGTTCAAATAGCCACCCTTTGCCTTGATGAGTGTGCCTTGAAATTCTAAATAAATCACAGACAGTGTCACCAGCAAAGCACCCCCATACCATAACACCTCCTCCTCCATGCTTACGGTGGGAAATACACATGCAGAGATCATCCTTTCACCCACACCGCGTCTCACAAAGCCACGGCGGTTGGAACCAAAAATCTCAAATTTTGACTCCAGACCAAAGGACAGATTTCCACAGGTCGACGACACCATTTTGTATACATCTGGCCCTTCATTGGACACTGTGTTAACAAACCTCCAAACGAGCTTCAATGCCATACAACAATCCTTCAGTAGCCTTCAACTGCTCTTAAACACTAGTAAAACTAAATGCATGCTTTTCAATCGAACGCTGCTAGCACCCGCCCCCCGACTAGAATCACCACTCTCGACGGGTCTACCTAGAGTATGTGGACAACTACAAATATCTAGGTGTCTGGTTAGACTGTAAACTCAACTTCCAGACTCACATAAAGAATCTCCAATCCAAAGTTAAATCTAGAATCGGCTTCCTATTTCGCAACAAAGCCTCCTTCACTCATGCTGCCAAACATGCCCTCGTAAAACTGACTATCCTACCGATCCTTGACTTCGGCGATGTCATTTACAAAATAGCCTCCAACACTCTACTCAGCAAATTGGAAGTAGTCTATCACAGTGCCATCCGTTTTGTCTCCAAAGCCCCATACACTACCCACCACTGTGACCTATACGCTCTTGTTGGCTGGTCCTCACTACATGTTCGTCGTCAAACCCACTGGCTCCAGGCCATCTATAAATCACTGCTAGGCAAATCCCCGCCTTATCTTAGCTCATTGGTCACCATAGCAGCACCCACCCGCAGTCTGCGCTCCAGCAGGTATATCTCACTGGTCATTCCCAAAGCCAACACCTCCTTTGGCCGCCATTCCTTCCAGTTCTCTGCTGCCAATGACTGGAACGAATTGCAAAAATCTCTGAAGCTGGAGATCTTTATATCCCCCATAACTTTAAGCATCAGTGTCAGAGCACCTTACCTGATCACTGCACCTGTACACAGCCCATCTGAAATTAGCCCACCCAACTACTCATCCCTATATTGTTATGTTAATTTGCTCTTTGCACCCCAGTTATCTCTATTTGCACATAATCTCTTGCACATCTAGCATTCCAGTGTTAATACTATTGTAATTATTCTGCACTATAGCCTATTTATTGCCTTCACCTCATAACTTGCCTACATTTGCACACACTGTATATATATTTTTTGTTGTATTCTGACTTATGTTTTTTTTACCCCCATATGTAACTCTGTGTTGTTTTTATTGCACTACTTTGCTTTATCTTGGCCAGGCGCAGTTGTAAATGAGAAACCTGTTCTCAACTGGCTTACTGGTTAAATAAAGGTGAAATAAAAATAAAAAAATATAATAAATAAAATTACTCGTGTTTCTTGGCCAAAGCAGTTCTCTTCTTCTTATTGGTGTCCTTTAGTAGTGGTTTCTTTGCAGCAATTCGACCATGAAGGCCTGATTCACACAGTCCCCTCTGAACAGTTGATGTTGAGATGTGTCTGTTACTTGAACTCTGTGAAGCATTTATTTGGGCTGCAATTTCTGAGGCTGGTAACTCTAATGAACTTATCCTCTGCAGCAGAGGTAGCTCTGGGTCTTCCATTCCTGTGGCGGTCCTCATGAAAGCCAGTTTCATCATAGTGCTTGATGGTTTTTGCGACTGCACTTGAAGAAACGTTCAATGTTCTTGAAATGTTCCGTATTGACTGTCCTTCATGTCTTAAAGTAATGATGGACTGTTGTTTCTCTTTGCTTATTTGAGCTGTTCTTGCCATAATATGGACTTGGTCTTTTACCAAATAGGGCTATCTTCTGTATACCCCCCCCTACCTTTTCACAACACAACTGATTGGCTCAAACGCATTAAGAAGGAAAGAAATTCCACAAGTTAACTTTTAAGAAGGCACACCTGTTAATTGAAATCCATTCCAGGTGACTATCTCATGAAGCTGGTTGAGAGAATGCCAAGAGTGTGCAAAACTGTCATCAAGGCAAAGGGTGTCTATTTGAAGAATCTCAAATATAAAAAATATTTTGATTTGTTTAACACTTTTTTGGTTACTACATGAGTCCATATGTGTTATTTCATAGTTTTGATGTCTTCACTATTATTCTACAATGTAGAAGAAAAACCATTGAATGAGTAGGTGTGTCTAAACTTTTGACTGGTACTGTATATATTTCCTGAGCTTTCTTATATCTCTTAGATATAGTTCAGACACTTCAAAAACCTTATTCCTTATGAATTTCATATGTCATCTTAGAATTAAAACGTTAGTACATGCATCCCACTTCTGACACCAGTGTAGTGAACAGTGGCAGAACCCGGGTTGCCTGACTCAAGGAACACTTGATTGCCACAAACATCATAGGGATAGCTATGTATTTTGGAGGAGTTTGTAACAAGCATACAAAGGCTTCACTATTTTTGCAGTAGTTCAATCACTGAGCTGAGCTCAAAAGTGAGGGAAAAGGTTTTTGAACAAAACATTCCGAGGGCAACATTGCATTCTGGGACGTGTCCCCTGGTCGGGTTGTTGAAGTCAAGATGGCTGTAAACACCAAACGGAGACTAGAGCATGAAATAGGCCTTAAATGAAGTTACTTATTCAATAAAATCGTCCACCAACGCCAAGATCATTTAGCAGAAACATAACGTTTTGCTGAACATTTATCCAACCTGTAGAGGAAGTGTTCATTCATACAGATACACAGGATCACGAGCAACTGCGGGATAAAGTCTCGTATGAATTCCGACGAGAGGGACTGTGAGTGTGCGCCACCACAGGCCGAGACATCCCCTGCAGGAGGATACCACAGGTCGGCATGGATATAAATAGAGTGTCGTGGTTGGGGGAGCAATGCATGTTTTGTATCGTAGCAATGAAATGTTTCCCAACTTGTGGTTTCTGGCTAGCTAGCTATGTGACTGAAATGTAAAATGAAGTGAAAGTGCAACTGTCCTGCAGATTTCCAGGTAGGTAGCTAGGTAACTAGTTAACGTAGCCATCTACCTTAGATAGGCCTGAAAAGTGAATTTAGCAACCCCTAGTTGGATAGCTAGTTATTAACATAACTGTTAGGTAGCTAGTTCGTTTGCTGTTCTGATTTCACGTTAGCGTACAGCTACGACGAGGTATTGCAGAATTGTAACTATGTTACCGAAAATATTAGCTAGTTAGCTCACTATTGTATTATCAGCTGTCTATCACCTGAACGAATTTGCCGGCTAGTCGAAAAGCTAGTTAGCAAGCAAGCTGCACTGTCATCACTCTGTCTGCGTTAGCTAACTAGCTACTAGCTAGTTAGCCAACGTTAACTACTTGTGTTGGTCTTTGGCTAGATTTATATTCACTGTTCCTATAGCCATTTCATCATCAGTCAGGAGTTTGTTTACATTAACGTAAGATTAAATAGCGTTCGCTTGCTGTTAGCCACAATAACTATCTTAACTACATTTACATTACATTTTAGTCATTTAGCAGACGCTCTTATCCAGAGCGACTTACAGGAGCAATTAGGGTTAAGTGCCTTGCTCAAGGGCACATTTACGTCATTTAGCAGACGCTCTTATCCAGAGCGACTCACCAATTGGTGCGTTCACCCTATAGCCAGTGGGATAACCACTTTACAATTTTTTTTGGGGGGGGTAGAAGGATTACTTTATCCTATCCCAGGTAATCCTTAAAGAGGTGGGGTTTCAAATGTCTCCGGAAGTTGGTGAGTGAGGGAGCTGTCCTGGCGTCGTGAGGGAGCTTGTTCCACCATTGGGGTGCCAGAGCAGTGAACAGTTTTGACTGGGCTGAGCGGGAGCTATGCTTCCGCAGAGGAAGGGGAGCCAGCAGGCCAGAGGTGGATGAACGCAATGCCCTCGTTTGGGTGTAGGGACTGATCAGAGCCCGAAGGTACAGAGGTGCCGTTCCCCTCACTGCTCCATAGGCAAGCACCATGGTCTTGTAGCGGATGCGAGCTTCAACTGGAAGCCAGTGGAGTGTGCGGAGGAGGGGGGTGACGTGAGAGAACTTGGGAAGGTTGAACACCAGACGGGCTGCGGCATTCTGGATGAGTTGTAGGGGTTTAATGGCACAGGCAGGGAGGCCAGCCAACAGCGAGTTGCAGTAGTCCAGACGGGAGATGACAAGTGCCTGGATTAGGACCTGTGCCGCTTCCTGTGTAAGGCAGGGTCGTACTCTCCGAATGTTGTAGAGCATGAACCTGCAGGAGCGGGTCACCGCCTTGATGTTGGCGGAGAACGACAGGGTGTTGTCCAGGGTCACGCCTAGGCTCTTCGCACTCTGGGAGGAGGACACAGCGGAGTTGTCAACCGTGATGGCGAGATCATGGAACGGGCAGTCCTTCCCCGGGAGGAAGAGCAGCTCCGTCTTGCCAGGGTTCAGCTTGAGGTGGTGATCCGTCATCCATACTGATATGTCTGCCAGACATGCAGAGATGCGATTCGCCACCTGGCTAGCTAACGTCGTTCAATTCGTTTCACGCTCTAGACAAGCTAGTTAATTTCTCTGCTATAGCTAGCTGTAGTAGGTAGGCTAGATGGTTCTGTCAACAGATTAAGCTACATATTCCTGACATGCTATTGATGTATTTGTTTGTTTAGAATACAAGAGGAGTCTGACATAGAAAACCCTGAAGCAAGCCGAATGTAAGTTTATTTTAAGTTGTCAGTCATGTCATTCTGTGATTAACATAGCTAGCTACAGTAAGTTAATTTAGTCAATCACCATGTTCTATCTATGGAATGCTAATATTTAATGTCTCCCTCCTTTCACTAACCAATGAATGTCCACCACCATTCTGTCAATGTGTCTCCATCCATGCACCTTTTAAATTAATCATTTTCCTATTTGGCTTCCACACACCATCCCTCCTGCATAGTCTGCTGATTGTAGCAGGCACACAGTGGATGCTGTGTCCCCAAGTTCCCATTGAAAATGGAAGTCTACATTCTTGAATGTCTAGGGGCTTACCTCTTTTCCAATGTAGAAACATTGATATTTATATATGACGTTAAGTTCCCTTTTTTAATGTTTATCACTTTGTGGATGTTGACATGACTGATTTCAGTGCTGTTTTGATTGAGACTCCCAGCCATGAGTTTCATAGCTCTTCAAGCTTCCAATTTGAACGGTCTCTCCAATGCAGGAAGCGAGCAGCCGCCAAGCATCTAATAGAGCGCTACTACCACCAGTTAACGGAGGGCTGTGGAAATGACTCGTGCTCGAACGCGTGGTGCGCTTCGTCCCAGGGCTTCCGCCGCTTGGACAACAATGCAGCCGCCGTCAAGGCCCTGGAGCTGTACAAGAGCAATGCCAGACTGTGCGACCTGCACCCCTCCAAGAAAGGCACCACAATGAACCATTGTGTAAAGGATGACTTCAAAGGTGTGTTGGCATCAGTGACTCATTCGTGCATTAGTACTTTTCGGAGTATTTCAATTGTTGTGCAGAATTTCAGAATCAGACCGTCGATCTTGACTGAACACTGAAATAGTTAACTTTTTAGCCGTAATTGGATATTTTATGTGTTGCGTTAATGAACTGTATTTCTTTGATGTGTTTCCAGATGTGAATTACCTAACAGAGGAGAAAGTGTATGAGATCCTACACATCTGTGCGGAGAAGGAGGACTACTCCCCTCTGATCCGGGTCATAGGACGGGTGTTCTCCAGCGCAGAGGGCCTGGTGCAGAGCTTCCGCCTGTCCAAACCACCCACCAAGGAGGAGCTCAAGTCCCTCCAGAGCAAGGACGAGGACAAAGACGAGGACGAGGAGGAAGCTGCTGCTATGGAGGAGGACTCGCCCGGCTCCTCATCCCGGTTAGACGGTGCTGCCTCGGGGGACAACGATGTGGGCAAGCTGGGTCCTGACGAGGTGTCTGTGGACATCGACGCGGTCAGGAGGGTCTACCAGAGACTGCTGTCCAATGATAAGATCGAAGCTGCCTTCCTCAACGCGCTGGTCTACCTGTCGCCCAACGTGGAATGTGACCTGACTTACCACAACGTCTACTCCCGGGACCCCAACTACCTGAACTTGTTTGTGGTGGTGATGGAGAACAGTAACCTCCACAGCCCAGACTACCTGGAGATCGCCCTGCCCCAGTTCTGCAGGGCCATGAGCAAGCTGCCCCTGCCCGCGCTGGCCAAGCTGGCCCGCCTGTGGTCTCACTACAGTGCGGAGCGCATCCACCGCATAATGGAGACCTTCCAGCAGCTCATCACCTACAAGGTAGCTAGATTATTTTGGTATTTAGTATTATTTTCCTCTTTTATTATGCCTACGTAGAGCTATTAGATTCCTCTGTAATGAAAAGCACTATAAAATGAAATGTATGGTTATCATTATTAAGGTAGATTCTTTATACATTTTCACTTTTCCAAATTAAATATAGTATTATTTTCAATTACTAAGGTGGTCAGCAACGAGTTCAACAGCCGCAACCTGGTGAACGACGACGATGCGGTGGTGGCTGCCACCAAGTGCTTGAAGATCATCTACTATGCCAACGTGCTGGGAGGGGAGGTGGACACGGAGCACAACGAAGAGGAGGATGACGAGCCCATCCCTGAGTCCAGCGAGTTGACGCTGCAGGAGCTGCTGGGGGAGGAGAGGAGGAACAAGAAGGGCCCCCGGGTGGACCCCCTGGAGACAGAGTTGACCATCCGGACGTCCGACAGCCGGCGGCCCCTCATCCCCTTCGAGGAGTTTGTCAACGAGCCCTTGAATGAAGTCCTAGAGATGGACAAGGACTACACGTTCTTTAAAGTGGAGACGGAGAACAAGTTCTCCTTCATGACGTGTCCGTTCATCCTCAACGCCGTGACCAAGAACCTGGGCCTGTACTACGACAACCGCATCCGCATGTACAGCGAGCGACGCATCACAGTACTCTACAGCCTGGTGCAGGGACAGCAGCTCAACCCCTACCTGAGGCTTAAAGTACGCCGAGACCACATCATCGATGACGCCCTCGTCAGGGTAAGTCCAAGGCCCCGTTTAGTGTCTCCCACTCCGAAGTGTGCAGTTGTTTCGTCTACTCAAGGATTTAAAAGCATTGGAGTGGTGTTTGTACTGACTGGAGAGAGTGTCCACTATATTCCTCACACTAGTCTTAGCCCTTTCTTTTCATTCCATTCTTCCTGTTAGCTTGAGATGATCGCCATGGAGAATCCTGCAGACTTGAAGAAGCAGCTGTATGTGGAGTTTGAAGGAGAGCAAGGTGTAGATGAAGGAGGGGTTTCCAAAGAGTTCTTTCAGCTTGTCGTGGAGGAGATCTTCAACCCAGATATTGGTGAGAAACAAGAGTTGTCAGTCAGTCGGTCGAAACATAGCTGAACTCTCACTGTGAGACTGGGATTGGATGTGGTTGGTTTGTGTTGCTGTTGTGTTTTTATAAATGTCCTCGTCGTTACTACAGTGGATGTGGTTGGTTTGTGTTGCTGTTGTGTTTTTATAAATGTCCTCGTCGTTACTACAGTGGATGTGGTTGGTTAGTGTTGGATATTGTAAAGGTTGTTCCTTGTCTTTAACACAGCTTCCTTCTCCTCCTCAGGAATGTTTGCGTACGACGAGCGCACCAAGATGTTCTGGTTCAACCCATCCTCGTTTGAGAACGAGGGTCAGTTCACGCTGATCGGCATCGTCCTGGGCCTGGCCATCTACAACAACTGCATCCTGGACGTTCACTTCCCAATGGTGGTCTACAGAAAGCTCATGGGCAAGAAAGGAACCTTCCGGGACCTCGCAGACTCCAATCCGGTTAGTATTTGAAGTCCTGTTTATGAATTAAATGAGTTTAATGATATTGAAACCCCAGAGTGGTATTTAGAGCTTTGTGCTGAGACATGGCTGTCGACTCCTATGGCGTTACATAATATATTACTTAGCAATTTCTTTCAGGGCAATATAGACCTTAACAGCTAGATACCATTGAAATTGTGGTATGTACGAAGGTAGACAACGGAGAGTGTTATTGATAGCGTGTTGCTGTCTGCTCTCCCCTGTGTCCTGTCCTGTTCTGTGTGCAGGTTCTGCACCAGAGTCTGAAGGAGCTGTTAGAGTACGAGGGTAGTGTGGAGGAGGACATGATGATCACCTTCCAGATATCCCAGACGGACCTGTTCGGAAACCCCCTCATGTACGACTTAAGGGAAAATGGGGATACAATTCCAGTCACCAATGAGAACAGAAAAGTGAGTTTCAAGAATTTGTGAAGAAAATTATTTCATTCTAAATCATGCTTTTAGACATTGAATTATTAGTGTTTTTTCTATTTTAGATGTAACTTATTTGACCAGTGGGGTTGAATAGAGTATAAGGTAGCGTCCAGAGAATCATACCGTTGTTTCATCTTGTGGTCTGCAGGAGTTTGTAGCTCAGTATGCAGAGTACATGCTGAATAAGAGCGTGGAGAAGCAGTTCAAAGCCTTCAGAAGAGGTTTTCACATGGTCACCAACGAGTCCCCGCTGAAATATTTATTCCGGCCGGAGGAAATCGAGCTGCTCATCTGTGGAAGCAGGGTAAGCTGTAGAAAATAGATGTATTTTTATTTTGTGTTTTTTAATATGATTTTAACTCACCATAATGTCTCTGGCACATAGAACCTAGACTTTCAAGCACTTGAAGAAACCACAGAATACGATGGGGGCTACAGCAGAGATTCACGCATTATTAAGTAAGGAATTGCTTTATTTTAGGTGTGTGAAAGGACAGTCCAAACATTTTTGAAATTCAACTATTTGAACTGCTGCTGATATCCGGGACAGTGACCAAATCCCTGAATATGACACTAATATAAAGCATTGTCTGTACTTGACCAACCAGAGAGTTCTGGGAGACGTTGCACTCGTTTGCTGAGGAGCAGAAGAGGCTGTTCCTGCAGTTCACCACGGGCACAGACAGAGCCCCTGTCGGAGGCCTGGGCAAGCTCAAGATGATCATCGCCAAGAACGGCTCCGACACAGACAGGTGAGGACATCTTCCTTCTGCAGGCCCACAGAGATCACACTCACATCAGTTTGGAAACATGCAACTAGCAAATGTGTCATGTGTGATATATATTTTTTTAAATCTAACCATGTACTTTCAATGCATTTGGTTTTAGGGGAAATTGATGACTTGGCTTCAGATTACAGTGGAACATCAGGGTAATCCCATACCAAATGAATGGCCTTTGACCCCTTCCCTCTCTGCCCCTTTCTGCAGGTTACCCACATCTCACACCTGCTTTAACGTGCTGCTGCTCCCGGAGTACGACACCAAGGAGAAGCTGAGAGAGAGACTGCTCAAAGCCATCCTCTATGCCAAAGGGTTTGGCATGCTCTAGTCTGAGGCCATGGCTGCCACACTGCAAAAGGACTCCTTTTCACAATCTCCTCCTTCACCCATATCAGAAAAAAACAATACGAAAGAAAGAAGACCAACCAACACAAAATCATTTAAGATTCGAGATGAGAAAATCAGAAAATAAACACAGTGGTTGATATAAAGGTAGAGTGCTCTAGTAGTCCAGTTTGTCCGTGCCTGCTTCCCGATCTCTTGGAGCAGCTTCATTGAACTTCATGTGATCAAACGTACGTTTCCTTTCCCACGTTGTGTGAATGTGTTCCGAATGCATCCCGTATTTTATTTTTTTATGTACAGAGAGGATTTTTTCCCTTACTATTTATTTTAAGGTTGAAATTGGTTATTTTGATCCTTGACTGGATTAACACCTTTTTTTGGTGGTAAAGAGGAGGGCTGGGATTATTTAATAATATGGATTGGGACAATGAAAATGTAAGAAGCCATTTGTAAGAGAAGAAAAGGCTGCATCCATTCATGCTTTGCAGTCCCCATCTCTGTTACTTTGCGATCGCCTAAACCTTGTTGGGTTGTGTCCCTGTAGTCAGAAGCTGGTGTGACTAGGGAAACCGTGAGCTCTTGGAGTTAATATGATGTCCTGCCCCCCCACCTTCCATATTATTTTGCCTCTCGAACCAGACTCAGTTTTTCATGGAAGTGTTTGGAACTTCATTCAGACAGCATCTTCAGAAAATGTTTACCAAGAGCAGTCCTAAATGACACCCTATTCCCCATATAGTGTTCTACTTTCGACTAGGGCCCATTAGTGTGCCATTTGGGGGGGACACCATTATTTTCACCATTGGGAGCACTGAGAGTAGACTGAAACTTTGCCTGAGCTGTTGTAAGTGCACTTAGACATTTTCAGAATGTTTGGTTTTTTGGCCACAAGTGTACATGATTGTTCTCAAAGCATTATTTTCTAAAGTCTTCCCATGTTGCCCTTGTGTAACCAGTATTATATTGTAATCCTCAGTACATTTATATAATCAGAATGGCATTTATTCTGGATGTCTCCACATCAAGAAGACCAACCCCAAATATGTCCCAGGTTTAGCTAGAGTATCTTCCTTTAGAACCAAATCTAGAAGATTTGTCTCTGTGTAGAAAATAACTTACGACAGCCCTTTTAAATTTTGATTTGGCAAAGCTCGCTGCGAATTCCCTCAGCACTGGCACAGTAAACAGTTTCTTTGTCTTTTAGTTTCTGGACAGTTCGATAGGGATGTAATCACTGCTTAGGATTGTCAATGGATCCTGAATCCTGATGCGGTCTTCTTTCAGTCTGTCGAGGCGTAAGCAGTCAGCCAGCTCAGCTCACAGTAATGCCACTAAACAACGGTGCTCAGGGCTGCTTGTGAAGAAGCTGCCCCAACAAATACATTTCAGATGTTGTGCCCTGAGCCTTCCCCTCCTCCATCGCTTTTTTGGGTTTCTGCTGTACCTCGTTTATTTGTATCTCTGTTTTGTACTGCTGAAGTTGCTGCTCACCTGAACATGTAAAAGGACTCTAGGGCCCAGTGAATGGAAAACGTTCACCCTGATGATCTTGGAAGGGAAGCAGTCAGTTTATAGGTTGGTTTGAATTAACGGTTACATTTTTTAAAAATTCTATTGATAAAAGGCTTAAAATCAAGTGTTGTGAAAACATGCTAAATAAAAGTGACTGCTTTTTTCTAACTTGTACTTGGTGAAGAGTTCATTTAATTGTTACTGTCTCGTACCCCCAGTGAAGTTAATCCAGACATGTTAATTTATTAACATTACAATGTATTTAACAAAATTCAGTCGATTGGCTTAAAAGAGCCGAGTTGTTCAACCTCTGAAAAGAAGAGAACATATTACTGAAATTTCAAATAAGTTTGCATTCGATTTGACAGTTTAAGCTTCTTAGTTTAAACACGTACAGTACAATCTGAGTTGAAGTGAAAATGACTTGGAAAGGATAGTAAACCAAAAACAGTATTTTCAGATGATGTCCATTGCAACTGCCAACTGACCTAGACATTTCAAAAGCACACCAGCAGTACAATTCAACTACCAGTATCTTTTGGATTCAAATACAGACCAATTTTGGACAACGATATGTATTTCTTACAAAATAAAAACCTTTTGGTATCACTTTAAACATAGCAAACAAGCAGTACACATATCTCCCCAACAAGTACATCCAGGGGAACCACTTCCTTCAAGTGAGTATTACAGCATTTCAGTACAGTTTACTTCACACCATGTTTACTGTATTTTTAAATATGTTTGACTCTATAGGTATACTTTTGACCAGTGGAGGCTGGTGGGAGGAGCTATAGGAGGCCGGCTCATTGTAATGGCTGGAATGGAATTAATGGAACGGTATCAAACATATGGAAACCACGTTTGACTCCGTTCCATTCATTCCACTGCAGCCATTACAATGAGCCCATCCTCTTATAGCGCATCCCACCAGCCTCCACTGCTTTTGACTAGTCAACAATGCAGTCTATGATTATAATCCACTTGGATGGAAAGCTATTTAGATCTAACCAGATCTAAATAGTGAGTATAGGCTATAGATTTACATTTAATATACACTTAATGTCCGTGTCTGTCAAATGTGTGGAGTAGAGTAGGAACACCGCATGTGACCATGTGTCCTTCATCACCTCATCCATCCTCCTGCCTGAGGGGTTTGACCCTGGCCTCCATGTTGCTGATGCGCTGCTTGACCTTGGCCTGGTATGTTGCCCACTCTGCAATCATTCTGGTGAACTTGATCGTCATGACCTCCATGTTGGTCTCCATCGTAAGGACTTTGTTCTCCATTTCTTTGGGGTCGGCCTTGTTTCCCAATTCCTCGTCAATGAGGTTGTCCTTCATCAGGATGGCCCTGCCTTTGTCCTCCAGAGCGTACTTGGCGTCAGGGTACTCAGTGAGCGCATCCATCAGGTCGTCTTTAGACAGGGCGAAGAGGTCAGAGTAACCTACGCTCCTGATGTTGGCTGTTCTCCTGTTGCCAGCCTTACTGCCCTTGATACCCAGGATACTGAGATCTCCGAAGTACGCCCCGTCGCTCAGCACACACCACTGTGTGACCCCGTCGTCCGCCACCACAGCAAGCTTCCCCTCTTTGATGATGTACATCTCTCTGCCGATGTCGCCCTTCTTACAGATGTAGTCTCCGGGGCTGAAGACCTGCGGCTGCAGCTTGAGCACCAGCTCGATCAGCAGGCCGGCTTCACAATCCTGGAAGATACGCACTTTCCTCAGTGTCTCCATGTGGACGTTGATGGCAATCTCAGCCTTTAGCTTGTCCGGCAGGTTCTTCAGCACCTCCTTCTCGTCGCAGGTCTTCTTCTCCGTCCACAGGTAGTCGAACCACTTGACCACCCTGGCCTCCAGGACCTTGGAGACTTTACGAAACTCCATGTACTGCTTGATGGAGTCGATCTTGGCCTGGAACTCGGCGCGTGCCGCGTTCATGTTGGAGATCATGGCGCCCACGTTACCGACAATGGTGGCAAAAATTAGCACTCCCGTGAGGAAGTCAGCGACGACAAACAGGTACTCGATGTCTCTGACAGGAGGCGGGGTCTCTCCAATGGTGGTCAGGGTCAGGGTGGACCAGTAGAGGCAGTAGACGTACTTCCTGGACAGCTGGCCCATCTCGGGGTCAGTGATGTTTGGGTACACCCAGGTGTCTGAGCCGAAGCCCAGGATTTTGGAGAGGGCGAAGAAGACACAGGCGTTCCAGTGGATGATGATCAGGATGTAAAGCACAAGGTTGCTGATTCGGAAAATGTTGGGGTAGTTCGTCCTGGTTTCTGTTCGGTCGAAGAACTCAAAGAGGCGCGCCATCTTGCCGAGGCGGTTGAATCTGAACTCTGGATTGTTGTAACCGTATGGAATGAAGGCAAGATCGGTAGGTATCATCGATATGATGTCAAATTTAAATTGCTTCTGGGCTCTGTAGCGTTCTTTTAGTTTCACTGGGTCCTTCACGAGCAATCCTTGTTCCAGGAAACCTGTTGATGACATTTCAAAGCTTTATTGCAAAAATCGTTAAACGAGACTATGTTAGTGGAAAATAATAAAGCAAAATATATTTTTAAAAGATATATGTGTGTGTGTGTGTGTGTGTATATATATGTATACAGTTGAAGTCGGAAGTTTACATAAACTTCGGTTGGTGTCATTAAAACTTGTTTTTCAACCACTCCACAAATGTATTGTTAACAAATTATAGTTTTGGCAAGTCGGTTAGGACATCTACTTTGTGCATGAGACAAGTAATTTTTCCAACAATTGTTTACAGACAGATTATTTCACTTATAATTCACTGTATCATAATTCCAGTGGGTCAGAAGTTCACATACACTAAACTGACTGTGCCTTTAAACAGCTTGGAAAATTCCAGAAAATTATGGCATGGCTTTAGAAGCATCTGATAGGCTAATTGACATAATTTGAGTCAATTTGAGGTGTACCTGTGGATGTATTTCAAGGCCTACCTTCAAACTCCATGTAAAATTAAAAAAAAAAATAATTCTACGAAATGACAACATTTCTCCCAAATTCCAAATAAAAATATTGTCATTTAGAGCATTTATTTGCAGAAAATGAAAATGTATGTAAACTTCCGACTTCAACTGTATATACACTACCATTCAAAAGTTTGGACACACCTACTCAATCAAGGGTTTTTCTTTATTTTTACATTGTAGAATAATAGTGAAGACATCAAAACTATGAAATAACACATATGGAATCATGTAGTAACCAAAAAAGTTTTGATGAGGTTATATTTGAAATAGCCACCCTTTCCCTTGATGACAGCTTTGCACACGCTTGGCATTCTCTCAACCAGCTTCATGAGGTAGTCACCTGGAATGGATTTCAATTTACAGGTGTGGCTCCTTAAAAGTTAATTTGTGGAATTTATTTCCTTCTTAATGCGTTTGAGCCAATCAGTTGTGTTGTGACAAGGTTGGGGGGTGTACAGAAGATAGCCCTATTTGGTAAAAGACCAAGTCCATATTATGGCAAGAACAGCTCAAATAAGCAAAGAGAAATGACAGTCCATCATTACTTTAAGACATGAAGGTCAGTCAATACGGAACATCAAGAACTTTGAAACGTTTCTTCAAGTGCAGTCGCAAAACCCATCAAGCGCTATGATGAAACTGGCTCTAATGAGGACTGCGACAGGAATGGCAGACCCAGAGTTCATTAGAGTTACCAGCCTCAGAAATTTTAGCCCAAATAAATGCTTCACAGAGTTCAAGTAACAGACACATCTCAACATCAACTGTTCAGAGGGGACTGTGTGAATCAGGCCTTCATGGTCGAATTGCTGCAAAGAAACCACTACTAAAGGACAACAATAATAAGAAGAGACCTGCTTGGGCCAAGAAACACGAGCAATGGATATTAGACCGGTGGAAATGTGTCCTTTGGTCTGGAGTCCAAATTGGAGATTTTTGGTTCCAACCGCTGTGTCTTTGTGAGACGGGGTGTGGGTAAACGGATGATCTCCACATGTGTATTTCCCACCATAAAGCATGGAGGAGGAGGTGTTATGGTGTGGGGGTGCTTTGCTGGTGACGCTGTATTTAGAATTCAAGGCACACTTAACCAGCATTGCTACCACAGCATTCTACAGCGATACGCCATCCCATCTGGTTTGGGCTTAGTGGGACTATCATTTGTTTTTCAACAGGACAATGACCCAAAACACACCTCCAGGCTGTGTAAGGGCTATTTTACCAAGAACGCGAGTGATGGAGTTCTGCATCAGATCACCTGGCCTCCACAATCCCCCGACCTCAACCCAATTGAGATGGTTTGGGATGAGTCCGAGCGCAGAGTGAAGGAAAAGCAGCCAACAAGTGCTCAGCATATGTGGGAACTCCTTCAAGACTGTTGGAAAAGCACTCCAGGTGAAGCTGGTTGAGAGAATGCCAAGAGTGTGCAAAGCTGTCATCAAGGAAAATGGGTGGCTATTTGTAGATTCTCAAATATAAAATATACTTTGATTTGTTTAACACTTTTTTGTTTACTACATGATTCCATATGTGTTATTTTATAGTTTTGATGTGTTCACTATTATTCTACAATGTAAAAATAAAGAAAAACCCTTGAATGAGTAGGTGTGTCCAAACTTTTGACTGGTAGTGTATGTATGTAGGTGTGTATATATATACACAGTGCATTCGGAAAGTATTCAAACCCCTTCCCTTTTTCCACTGTTTGTTGCGTTAGTCTTATTCTAAAATGGATTAAATATTTTTTTCCCCCTCATCAATCTACACACAATACCCCATAATGACAAATCGAAAACAGGTTTTTAGAAATGTTTGCAAATGTATTACAAATAAAAAACAGAAATACCTTATTTACAAAAGTATTCAGAACATTTGCAATGAGATTTGAAGTTGAGCTCAGGTGCATCCTGTTTCCATTGATCATCCTTGAGATGTTTCTACAACTTGATTGGACATGATTTGGAAAGGCACACACTTGTCTATATAAGGTCTCACAGTTAACAGTGCATGTCAGAGCAAAAACCGAGCCATGAAGTCAAAGGAATTGTCCGTAGAGCTCCGAGACAGGATTGTGTTGAGGCACAGATCTGGGGAAGGGTACCAAAAAATTCTGCAGCATTGAAGGTCCCCAAGAACACAGTGGCCTCCATCATTCTTAAATGGAAGACGTTTTGAACCACAAAGACTCTTTTTGGAGCTGGCCACCCGGCCAAACTGAGCAATCGGGGGAGAAGGGCCTTGGTCAGGGAGGTGACCAAGAACCTGATGGTCACTCTGACAGAGCTCCAGAGTTCCTCCAGAAGTACAACCATCTCTGCAGCACTACACCAATCAGGCCTTTATGGTAGAGTGGCCAGACGGAAGCCCTCCTCAGTAAAAGGCACATGACAGCCCGCTTGGAGTTTGCCAAAAGGCAGCTAAAGGACTCTCAAACCATGAGAAACAAGATTCTCTGGTCTGATGAAAGCAAGATTGAACTCTTTGGCCTGAATGCCAAGCATCATGTCTGGAGGAAACCTGGCACCATCCCTACGGTGAAGCATGGGGGTGGCAGCATCATGCTTGTGGGGATATTATTCAGTGGCAGGGACTGGGAAACAAGTCAGGATCGAGGGAAAGATGAACAGAGCAAAGTACAGAGAGACCCTTGATGAAAACCTGCTCTAGAGCGCTCAGGACCTCAAACTGGGGCGAAGGTTCACCTTCCAACATGACAACAACCCTAAGCACACAGCCAAGACAACGCAAGAGTGTCTTCGGGACAAGTCTCTGAATGTCCTTGAGTGGCCCAGCCAGAGCCCAGATTTGAACCCGATCGAAAATCTCTGGAGAGACTTGAAAATAGCTGTGCAGCGACGCTCCCCATCCAACCTGACAGAGCTTGAGAGGATCTGCAGAGAAGAATGGGAGAAACTCCCCAAATAAAGTTGTGCCAAGCTTGTAGCGTCATACCCAAGAAGACTCGAGGCTGGAATCGCTGCCAAAGGTGCTTCAACAAAGTACTGAGTAAAGGGTCTGAATACTTATGTAAATGTGATATTTAAGTTTCTTATTTTTAATAAACTTGCAAAAATGTCTAAAAACCTGTTTTTGCCATATCATTATGTGGTATTGTGTGTAGATTGATGAGGGGGGGAAATAACTATTTAATCAATTTTAGAATTAGGCTGTAACGTAACAAAATGTGGAAAAAGTCAAGGGTTCTGAATACTTTCCGAAGGCACTGTGTGTGTGTGTATGTGTGTATATATATTTACAAAAATGTATATGGGGGATTGGAAATGATGCAGACAATTACATTGGAAGCTACAATCTATCTGCAATATTAAAGCTAATTTACCCACTAAAATAATTCAATATTATAAAAAATAAAAACGAGGCTATGCTATGCTATGTAGAAATTATTTAAACAACTTCAACCCTAAACAAGAATGATTTTACCTGTCCTAGATCTCACAAACGTGTCAATGTAATAGATGACATCTGAAGTGTAGTCGAGAACCATCCACAGTATTACGTAGTTGGCCTGCAGGTCATTGAAACTAGCCCTGGGAGACAAGCAGAAAAACATGAGTATTGATCATTTCCAATTACTCAACAACATCTTGGGAAACCTTAAAACTGGAATTCTAAAGCAGCACACACCTTGGCACCAGAAGCATCAAGTTGTAAAATGTTGGGACAGCTACTATTGTCAGCCAATGGTAGTACATATCTGTAGCGGGGTCAATGATCCACACTTCTTTCCTGAAAGAAACATCAAATAAAAATCTCTTTCCTGTTAACTTATATCATTTTTGGGGTTTATACATATAAGACATCTATATAACCATAGAAACTGAATATACTTACGGGGGTTCAGGTTTCTTATCATCCGGCTTCTTATCAGGCGGCTTCGGGGGATCAGGTTTCTTATCATCCTTTTTCTCATCCTTCTTGCTGAACAATTATTATTATTTATTTTACACATAATATTATACATCTCAATGAAGCATGTACTAACTACAGCACAGCACACTGTTATACAAGGGGAAAATAAGAGGATATCTATAGGGGGTGGAATCAACTAAGCCTCGTTCCACCATCCTGATCTCGCGAGCTTACGTTCTGTTTCTCTATACGAAGCAGAGGAGGCTGGTGGAAGGAGCTATAGGCGGACAGGCTTATTATAATGGCTGGCATGGAATAAATGGAAGGAGTCAAACGTGTTTCCATATGTTTGATGTGTTTGATACCATTCCATTTATTCCATAAAAATGAGCCTGTCCTCCTATAGCTCCTCCCACCAGCCTCCACTGATACGAAGTGAAAGGAAACGAAAGCGCAGCAGTCTGGATGGTGGATCAGGCTAATCAACTGAGCTAACTTCACTCTTACAGATTTGTTTGGAGATATTGGATCATAATGTTCATGGAGAGTGTTATTTGGTTTCAATTAGGTTTTCTATTGCATGAAACTATGTGCAATGATTTATCAAGACCAGAGGGGGGCAGCGTGCTACAGTTGGGTAAGAGAGTGGTGACAGGTCTCTTGGCTTTCTACTGGTATTACTTTGTCATTTCACTACTCCTCCAGTATGACATTTATAAATATGTGTCTGGTCACAATTATGTAACACAAAATACTATGGAGAGTGACAGGGAGGGGGAACAAAACCATGTACAGCTATTTATTTACAAGCATTTCGCTACACCCGCAATAACATCTGCTAAATATGTGTATGTGACCAATAACATTTGATTTGATTAGATTAGTGACTACCTACATAGTGAATTAAAGGTTCTGAATACTTATGTAAATGTTATATTTCAGTTTTTATTTTAAATAAATTTGCAAACATTTCTAAAAACCAGTTTTTGCTTTGTCATTTTGGGGTATTGTGTGTAGATTGATGAGGGGGGAAAACTATCTAATCAATTTTAGAATAAGGCTGTTACATAACAAAATGTGGAAAAAGTCAAGGGGTCTGAATACTTTTTTACATCAATTTGACAAAAGCTGTATCCCATCTAGACATGACCCCTCTCTAGCGTTAACAGGAAGCTATAATTGGTCCACTTACTCATCTTTGTTGTTGCAGTTGTTCATATTGTATGCCGCAAGGGGCCATTGACCGTTGCTTGAAAAAATATATCAATACACGTGTTAGCTTCAAATCTAAGTAGCTATTTCATTTCTAAGTCATAATAATTGCAGCATGAGAGAAAGAGAGATTGAGAGAAACACAAACATATATACACACACACACACACACTGGGACTCACTTCCTCCTGCGGACTTGGTCAGAGAGTCTGGTGCTGGACATGCTCTCTGCCCTCCAGGCTTCTCTGAACTCTGTGTGTGACTTCATGGTTGAGTCTAAAGGAAGGGCATCTGAGGGCTGACTACTGTGAGATGACCAGCTCTTCACCAACACCATGAAGCGAGACAGCCTGAGAGAAATGCATGAAGTTATTTTATTTTTAAAACTACATGTAATGTTGTTCAAACAATGAGAAAACAATTATACACACATTATACATTATTAAGGATTTAAAAAATAAAGTATATTGACTTATTTCCGTTGTAGTCCTCAAAAAAAGAAATCTGCACTGACCTGGACATGCCTCCTGTCCCTGTGAAGGAGGGGTCCAGTTGGTCCTCATGGCTGCAGTGTAGAGAGGACACCAGGAAGAGAGTGAGGCATAACCTCCACCATGCTAAAAATATACACTGAAATGGTACTAGCTTGGGACATGTCAAAGTTTGTGTTTCCTGTGTTTGGAGTGTCACCACACTGCAATAAATTGTGATCACACAGAACGCTTCCTGGCATTCTAAAATGGAGTCTGTGTGTTGTTGGCTCTTCAAAGTAAAAGCTTGCTATTCCTAAGCTAAACCCAAGCTGGTAAAATCCTGTAACTGTCTTACCTGCTGCCACTCTCAATCTGGTCCAGGTTGTCAGGTGTGTTTACCGAACAGCGGCCGTGGCTGGGATAAGACTGCTCTGTGCAGATCTTAGGCATCTTGGTTTACTCTAGGGTCCCCAATGCATCAGGTTGGTGGACTGCTGTGAACAGAATAGAACAGTAGGATATATTAGAGTAGGATACATGTCAGTTTGATTATTTATAATGTTCATAGTCTCACAAGTCAGACAATTGTTTCTTAAATATTTCATATACATACAACAATAAACAGGGACATTTCAATGTTTAAGCCTGGAAATAGAGGTTACAATGTTCATATCAGTAGTTTTTAACCCAACATTTTATAGTAATGTATCACAACTTTATAAAGTCTATGACTATAACTCAACGATCTATTCTAGGATGACTCTAGGTCTAGGATGACTGTGACTCTCCTAGAGTGGAGAAGCTTGAATAGGGATTTTAAGGGATGGTGAACCACATGTCTCACTGTGGATTTAGAAGTGATTTTTTACAGACTAAACAATGGTCTGAGAAGCTGTTCTAGAAATAAGGCCTGATTGTCTTAAATGTCACACAGGAGCAACTCCCTACACTGTCTTCTAAGAAAGAAGTGTTTAAAATAAGCACTTGGTAGGGCAAATTGTTGTATCTTTGAAGAGGTTTCAGAGATTACATCTATCTACAGATATACACCTACACTGAGTGTACAAAACATTAGGAACACCTGCTTTTTTTCTATGACATAGACTGACCAGGTGAATCCAGGTGAAAGCTACAGTGAGGGAAATAAGTATTTAGTCAGCCACCAATAGTGCAAGTTCTCCCACTTAAAAAGATGAGAGAGGCCTGTAATTTTCATCATAGGTACACGTCAACTATGACAGACAAAATGAGAAAAAAAAATCCAGAAAATCACATTGTAGGATTTTTAATGAATTTATTTGCAAATTATGGTGGAAAATAAGTATTTGGTCAATAACAAAAGTTTCTCAATACTTTGTTATATACCCTTTGTTGGCAATGACACAGGTCAAACGTTTTCTGTAAGTCTTCACAAGGTTTTGGCCCATTCCTCCATGCAGATCTCCTCTAGAGAAGTGATGTTTTGGGGCTGTCGCTGGGCAACACGGACTTTCAACTCCCTCCAAAGATTTTCTATGGGGTTGAGATCTGGAGACTGGCTAGGCCACTCCAGGACCTTGAAATGCTTCTTACGAAGCCACTCCTTCGTTGCCCGGGCGGTGTGTTTGGGATCATTGTCATGCTGAAAGACCCAGCCACGTTTCATCTTCAATGCCCTTGCTGATGGAAGGAGGTTTTCACTCAAAATCTCACGATACATGGCCCCATTCATTCTTTCCTTTACACGGATCAGTCGTCCTGGTCCCTTTGCAGAAAAACAGCCCCAAAGCATGATGTTTCCACCCCCATGCTTCACAGTAGGTATGGTGTTCTTTGGATGCAACTCAGCATTCTTTGTCCTCCAAACACGACGGGTTGAGTTTTTACCAAAAAGTTATATTTTGGTTTCATCTGACCATATGACATTCTCCCAATCCTCTTCTGGATCATCCAAATGCACTCTAGCAAACTTCAGACGGGCCTGGACATGTACTGGCTTAAGCAGGGGGACACGTCTGGCACTGCAGGATTTGAGTCCCTGGCGGCGTAGTGTGTTACTGATGGTAGGCTTTGTTACTTTGGTCCCAGCTCTCTGCAGGTCATTCACTAGGTCCCCCCGTGTGGTTCTGGGATTTTTGCTCACCGTTCTTGTGATAATTTTGACCCCACGGGGTGAGATCTTGCGTGGAGCCCCAGATCGAGGGAGATTATCAGTGGTCTTGTATGTCTTCCATTTCCTAATAATTGCTCCCACAGTTGATTTCTTCAAACCAAGCTGCTTACCTATCGCAGATTCAGTCTTCCCAGCCTGGTGCAGGTCTACAATTTTGTTTCTGGTGTCCTTTGACAGCTCTTTGGTCTTGGCCATAGTGGAGTTTGGAGTGTGACTGTTTGAGGTTGTGGACAGGTGTCTTTTATACTGATAACAAGTTCAAACAGGTGCCATTAATACAGGTAACGAGTGGAGGACAGAGGAGCCTCTTAAAGAAGAAGTTACAGGTCTGTGAGAGCCAGAAATCTTGCTTGTTTGTAGGTGACCAAATACTTATTTTCCACCATAATTTGCAAATAAATTCATTAAAAATCCTACAATGTGATTTTCTGGATTTTTTTTTCTCAATTTGTCTGTCATAGTTGACGTGTACCTCTGATGAAAATTACGGGCCTCTCTCATATTTTTAAGTGGGAGAACTTGCACAATTGGTGGCTGACTAAATACTATTTTTCCCCACTGTATGATCCCATATTGATGTCACTTGTTAAATCCACTTCAATCAGTGTAGATGAAGGGGATGAGACAGGTTAAAGAATGATTTTTAAGCCTTGAGACAATCGAGACATGGATTTTGTATGTGTGCCATTCAGAGGGTGAATGGGCAAGACAAAATATTTTAGTGCCTTTGAAGGGGCTATGGTAGTAGGTGCCAGGCGCACAGGTTTGTGTCAAGAACTGCAACGCTGCAGGGTTTTCATGCTCAACAGTTTCCCGTGTGTATCAAGAATGATCCACCATCCAAAGAACATCCAGCCAACTTGACACAACTGTGGGAGGCATTGGAGTCAACAAGGGCCAGCATCCCTGTGGAATGCTTTCGACACCATGTAGAGTCCATACCCTGACAAATTGAGGCTGTTCTGAGGGCAAAAGGGGGTGCAACTCAATATTAGGAAGGTGTTCCTAATGTTTTGTACACTCAATGGCTGTATTATTGAATGACATTCTTATATTTGTGTGTGTGTGTGTATCATTCAGTTTTTATTTGGACTACAGATATACTATATATATATATATATATATATATATATATATATTTGCACACTGTCTTTGTGAACGGACTAAATTATTTTCACAATTGAAACTTAAACAAAATCTCACTACATCTAGACTGATTCAGGATTTTTATGAATCTACATTGTAATAAAAAGCGTGCGCTGGCGCACCCCCAGATACAATTATTTAGTGTAGAGTTGCTGACTAACGGCGAATAAACTGTAAGCTGTAAAAATGAATAAAGAGTGTCGCACACTCTAAATAAACTCCCAGTAATGTATTGGGTGAAACACCAACGTTTCGGCATCACTGTGCCTTCTTCAATGAATGTGTGAATATGTGTTGGACGTGTACCTACAATGACATTTGCATAATACAATAAATAAATGTTCTAAAAAAATTACGATTTATCTTGTTGGTCCACAACCATAATGCACCCAAACTGCATTATAGAATCCCACTGAAGTGATACTTTGCTTTGCTTTCCAAAAGCATGACATGCAAATGGTTTGGTGTAATGACATGACCTGCCCATAGTATGCCGGTGTGTGATGTTTTTGAATGGCCCTGTCTGAACCTTAAATTGAACAATTAAACGAAACACGAGATTAGAGAAAGAATACTTATACAGTCGTAAGGCATGATTGTATTATTCTGCGCAAAATTTTTGATTTGAAATTATTTTAAAATGTATTGAAATGGAAAATTAATTCGTGCTTATTTTTAAAATGTCAAATAACGGATTAACACGCATTCAACCAACATTTTACAACCTGCATGCAATGATTAATTAATTAATTAATGAATCCACACATTTTACAACACTTTCGGGTAGGCTACAACTCTATTGTTAAGGATTATGAAGGAGACTGAATTAAATCCAAGACATTGACCTTTCCCCTTTCAGAATGTTTGATGTTTACACTTTAATTTCTTTATAATTTATGTTAACATGTCTTTATGGTTGATTATAAATTATTTCAGCAACTAGTGATAATAATTAAAATGTGTTTAAAAAAAAGTTAGAATAAGGCCTACATTCTAGTTGTATTTTTTTTAAAATTACTTTTGTAAACTTGGAGTGAATTGAAATGGCAACATTGTTTTAGATATAGTTGTTTAATTCCTGAAGGTAGAATAATTGTGATTTAATTTAGTTGTTTAGTTCATCCTATTTTTAACGCAGTAGTCTGCTTAAATGTGATATAATCAGAATGTCCTCACAAATTGCCTTACCAAGAGCCATACCTGCTTAGGTCTATCCTTCATTGTTGGTCCCGATGAAGTTTAGGCTATACGACTTTTTTTAAATCTAGCTATAACATCTGATGAATCCTATATTATTTCCAACATTCCGGATAAATCAGGGATTTCTTTAGACTACCACACAATTTGTGCAAATCTCTAGTCTAAATGTACCTGAATATAGTTTAGGGAAGGATAGTCCTCAAGCAAACGTCTTCGTCAAAGGAATTCTCGATGTGATATAATCCCATATTTTCCTCCTTTGCTTCATAGGCTACACAAACTTCTTCAAATCAATAATTATTCGGTAGACACGGCCTTACGTTAGTTTCAAATTATACTACTGGACACAACTACTTGGAAATCTATTTCAGCACCCAGGCTAACGGACAGCTCCTCCTTTGTCCAAGCAGCCTTCTTTAAACCGCAACGCACCTCCGTCACCTTCATAAACAGTCATTAACTGCTTGTGGGGAGAAGAGGGAGAAGGGAGGGGGAGTGGTGTGTGTGAGTGCCACCGCTTGTTGCTAGGTGAACTTTCTACAACTTTTAACGACTACCACAGAAGGGCAGTATTCATTTAGTGTCTGAATTTTTTGCCATTAGCCTACAGTTAGGTAAGATAGTATATGTTCAGGTGGTTACGTCATATAATTTATCATTCGATGTTATCTGAAATAAAGGGATGTAGTGCAAAAGAGTCCATGCAATGAGCCCTAAATGTCAGTCACCCCTGGACCAGATGTCAGCTCTTCCAAACAGGGTTCGAGACCAGTCTGCCATAAGTGCATGGTCATGAGAGCATATTGAAGGAAGATGGATTTACTCTTTGGCTCCAGTGAATAATAGAGCAGGAGATGAGTCAGAAGGATGAGATGAACTGGGGCTTAAAGGGGCTCAAAAGCTCATAGCCCATTAGAAATGTAGAGCATAGCTCATACTCACCCCCTCTCCCTGCCATCCTGAAAATGAGTCCCTAGATTCCCACTCAGCAACGCCGCTCCTCCTTTGGGACTGAGAGAGGTGCTAGGTGTTGCTCCTCACCTGCATAATAACGCATAACAAGAAACGGCCCCCAACGGATTGGATAAGTGGTCGAAACATGGCGTAAATTCTACGTAGCCTATCAGAGGGCAAGGTGAAAATAGTACAATACTTCTATCCACTCCTTTCATATCTACACAAGTGTCTAGTGGGTAGTGGGTAGGGGTCGATTTGGGACTGGGTGATTGGCATTGTGGCGTATCAGGCAGGTAGTTTACCTACAGTTTACAAATACTGGAAGAGCCAAGTGCCCTTTTTCTGCCCTTAGCTTGGTAGGACACGGTTGGCACCCATCTTTCCTTCGGCACAGCCTGGGCCACGAGCTCCACTGATGGGCTGCTGTGAGATGTCACCGATGTTCAGAATGTCTCACCCACTAGGCTGCTCTACTGCATGGCCACAGAATGTCTCACCCACTAGGCTACTCTACTGCATGGCCACAGAGGCCCCGCCCTCCTGGGAAAAGGGGAAAAGACACAGGGGAAATCCTCCGTCCTCCATCTGTAGAACAGAAGCTCTAATCTTAGATTTAAGACTCCAGCTTGTCCCTAGATCCACTAATGTGTTTCCCTTGACCAAGTGTTAAGTCAGTGTTTGTCATGAGGGATTTAAGGAGCCGCAGAGGCATCCAAATGAACGGGAGAGTAAAGCAATTCATTAGTTGTTCAGACAGTGTTTCTCCACTACCACTGCTATAAATAGTTATCAAGGGCTCAGAAATAGACAATGGATTAACAGTCATTAATAAAAGGTTAATTCGTTCCAACAACAATACCCAGAAACTGCATGACCTGTCCTGTTGGTTGTGCGATGTAGGTGTTTACTGGCCATACAACGTCAGATAAAGGGCCAGAAAAGTGATTGTGTGACTGTGAGACATGCATTCATACCAGGAACCCTCTTCAAGAAGTAGACTAAATCTACACTGAAGTAATATTACAGGCATAGATGGAGGTTCAGTGTCCATAGACTGAAATTGTCTTGAAGTCTTTTTGTTTGTGTTTTATTTGTCTTTACGTATCGAACCTTGTGTACTCCAAAAGCCTCCTTGTGGCCAGACTGCAGTCACTGTCACTGTGGGATTAGTACCTACAAAGGAGATTGCCTCTAATCTTTTGATGGTATTTGGATGTTCACGAGAGAGACAATAACAACTGCAGTCGGCAGGGAAGAAGTTAACAAGAAGAGTCTGAGGTGTTCTTGAGGGTCTCCCACAATACAGTTGATCAAAATATCAAAATGTATCCTAATATGGAGAAGCCACTTCCTTTTCTCTCACATGAGAAGTCATTGATCTTGTGAGATTATGTGTGTAACCATGCTACCAATGATTCACTCCATCCTAGGCGTCATTGTCAATGTCCTGAGGGATCAATTAAAATCTCTTTGTGCTGGAACAAACAGGCCAATACAGATCATACACTGCTGTCCTGGAGCATTTCCTAGTATGACCTGGAGCATTTCCTAGTATTTCCCATATATCCCAATTTATTAGGTACACCCATCTAGTACCGGGTCGGACCCCTCTTTGCCTCCAGAACAGCCTGAATTCTTTGGGGTATGGAAACGTTGCTCAATTGGTACCAAGGGACCTAACGTGTGCCAGGAAGACATTCCCCACACCATCACACCACCGCCACCAGCCTGTACCGTTGACACCAGGCAGGATGGGGCGATGGACTCATGCTGCTTACGCCAAATCCTGATGCTGCCATCAGCATGACACAACAGGAACCAGGATTAGTCGGACCAGGCAATGTTTTTCCACTCCTCAATTGTCCAGTGTTGGTGATCGCGTGCCCACTGGAGCCGCTTCTTCTTGTTTTTATCTGATAGGAGTGGAATCTGATTTTATACAGATGTCTGGTCATAAAGTTTAACATTTGCCACATAATGTAAATTATTATGGTGAACAAAACATTTTTGCTTTTTTTCACTGAAGATCAATTAAATTCATAATCTGTTATCTGCATAATCTGTTATATACTTCCCCTGTGCTATAAGGCCTGGCCCATCAGCATCCTGTATGTCTCCAGGCACTGGTTTATTTTATTGTGTTATGGGTAAGCTCAACAATAATTGCTAAACCCATGTGCATTTCTAATTGCTTAACCATCTTTCGCTTCACTCCATTCACATCACTGGGTCCCTGATCTCCTCTACTAACTGTGCAGTTGTCAAGGTAGAGGTACACCTTTGTGTCCTGGGGGGCCTGTATTATCTCCCCTTGGCCCCAGCACTACGGCATATGGACCTTGCACGGAAAACAATTGGCCATATATATTCCCATGGGGGGCCAGTATGAAAAATGTATGCACTCACTAATTGTAAGTCGCTCTGGATAAGAGGGTCTGCTAAATGACTGAAATGTAAATGACTGAAATGAAATGTAAAATATCAGCAAAACAAATTGAATGTCTGCATGCTGGTCACAAATGATATGAGGTGCATTTACTTTAGTGTATTAAAGTGTGTCATACATTATAACTTGCATTTTATGGTTTCATTGGGTTATGGTGTCATTTGGGTCATACAAATATATTGTGTGTGTTTTTCCTTGTTCTCGCTAACTTTATTTTGGGCTATTGAAATTTGAGTGGAAAATCATGTAGCAGTGCTGCCCTCTGGAGTTGAATTGTATGATTCCACTTGATATTCACCCATCAATTTATGTGAAAAACAAAGTGAAAAGCAAAGTGTAAGGATGAGAATCAGATGTTCATCATTGATTAGTAATGCCTGACCTGTGTCTATAAATTCCTGTCTGTCAAATGAACTGATCGAGGCGGCCAGGATTTCGGTCGGGCGATTGTGATTATGTGGCGGACCAAATATTTTCCGATAGAAGACGAAGGCCAAGATGTCGACACAAGTCCAGAGGATAGAATAGACGCCGGAGGGAGCAATGAAGAGGTCATTGTGGACTGTGAGGTCGAGGATAGAATAGACGCCGGAAGGGAAAGGAGGGGGAAATAGAGTACTTTTGAGAAGGCAAGAAATAGATATTGGTTAGGAGAGAGAGAGAGAGAGAGAGAGAGAGAGAGAGAGAGAGAGAGAGAGAGAGAGAGAGAGAGAGAGAGAGAGAGAGAGAGAGAGAGAGAGAGAGAGAGAAGAGAGAGAGAGAGAGAGAGGCAGAGGAGGTCTAAGAGAGAGAGGGAGGAAGACTGTGAGTTTGAGTCGCTAAAAAATGGCGGGAAAAGGGGAGAAGGTTTGTTAAAGAAGAGTGGTAGGAAATGTAAGCAAAGTGAGCTGAAGACAGTAGTAGAAATGGAAGAGGGTGAAGTATCGGAGGTGGTAGGTGTGGTGAAGGGTCAGGATAAAGATGAGTCTGTGACAGTAGGAGTGAAGTTTGTGGAAAAAGTGGATCCTTGCCTTTTGGCTGATCCATTTTGTGGTTTCAAGATGGGTGAAAAAAGCGTTGGGCATAGTGGAATTGGTGAGGGTAACCAGAAGTGGTCTAGTGATAATTGTTTGTGTTTCTGTTGGGCAGAGGGAGAAGGCGCTTAGAGTTAAACAAATGGGGGAAAGAATTGTGAATTGTTTCGCTCTTAAGAAATGGGCACCATTGAGAGGAGTGATTACTGGGGTAGCAGTAAATGTAAAAGTGGATCAACTGAAGGAGAAGATTCCGGGTGTGTGTGATGCTCGTCGTTTGGTGCGATGTAAACAGGGTGGCGAGAGTGGGGAAACAAGAGTCATTGTTTGTTCTTTTGAGTCATTGTCTGCCGGATAAAGTGAAGTTAGGATATATAAGTTATCCTGTGCGAGCGTATGTGGCGAGTACGTTAAGATGTTACAGGTGTCAAACTTAGGGGCATGTGGCAGCAGTATGTAGGAGGGAGATTCCAAGGTGTGAGAAGTGTGCAGAAGGGCATGAGACTAAGGAGTGTGAAGCAGTGGGGAAAGTAGTGGTATGTGCTAATTGAAGGGGTGGCCATGGGGCTGGGGATCAGACATGTTCAGTGCGAGAGAAGCAGGTCGAAGTTTCCAGGGTAAGAGTAGAGAAGAAGTTGTCATATGCAGTGGGCAAGCAAGTGATATATGTTTCAGTAAGATTGGGTTTTTAGCGTTTATAGCAATGGTTATTAATTGTACTGCAGGGATGGAACGCAAATCGAAGAAAATTGAGGTTGTGGTGGCAGCTGCAGAGAGATATTTGGGTGTGCGAGACCTGACAGCAGAAGAGTTACAGGGAGTGTTAAGTGGTGATGTCCCATCAATTCAGGTTGAGGGCATGAGGCAGGAGTGAGTATATTTAAATAGTGGAGAAAGGTGGGGTTAATTATTAGTAGTAGTTTTGAAGTTGTTAGATGGTAGGATATTTATTTGCTTTGTTTTATTTTTCAAGAAAAGATAAGATAAGGGAGTTGTACTCCAGTATAGTAGGTGGCGGTAATGCAACAAATTGGATGCCAACATCCGTTAAACCTCATTGAAGAAGAACTGATCGAGATGGTTGTTAAGAGAATTAAGGCACGTTCTACATAGCGCCTGTCTAGTCCTAACTAAGCATTTAACATTTAACTGCTATAATAAAATATAAAAGGAAAAAAAGAGATATCTATGAAGTCTGGAACTGCTTATAAATACAATTATGTATGAACATGAAACACAACTTATATCGCTGTTGCATGTGAAATATAACATCTAAATTAAGGATGTAAAAACACTAAAACGTGTGATAAGGTCGAGGGGCAAAGACCAAAGTACTTGCTCTTGTGCTGTTGGCAAGTGCCAACTGCACTGTTCACGGTGTCCACAAAGTTTACTCGTGTCACTGCTTGCCAGTTCTTGCGCTCAATGTTTATAGCTAGGAGCACACGATCATAGTGATGCAGTCAGAGCAGAAGAATGGCGCAAGCAGAAAGAACACCGAGTTTCCTCCACTTGCCAGTGAGGGAAAAAACGTCATGTTTCGGATATCTTCGGGTTTTATTTTTTGCACTCTTTCATATAGCTCAGGCAAACAAACAAGGTTTGTATTTTTAGTTGTCATTTTTTTCGCTACAGTTAGCTAGCAAGTGTACTGTTGCTAGCTAGCTGGCTAGCTAGCAAGCTTAGCTACCTAGCCTGTGTGTTCAAGGCTAGAGCCAAGGTGTCCAGTGATTGAGGAGGGTTTTCGGCTTGTATTTGGACTAGCTAGTAAATGACATGGCTCAATAGCTAAATGTAATACTTCATTGCATTATGACCAAACTAGCTAGCTAATAGATTCACACATTTCTAACTAGTCCAGTCGCTTCTTTAACGTCGGTAACGTTGTTAGCCAAGCTAGCTAAAGTGGCCCTTGAGAATTCAAGCGGTATCGTTAGCTAACTCAATTGTTTTGCTAGCTAGCTCCAATCATGTTTCACTTAGTATCCTGAAGTTAGCTAGCTAACGTTAGAATGTTTTATATATATATATATATATCGCTAGCCCCGAGTAACGTGTCTGCAACCTTCACGTAGCTAATGTTAGTGCTTGTCACAGGAAATAAGTGGTATTTTTACTTTGTCAAGACCAACATAAGTTCAAGTTCGTTTATTTGTCATATACATAACGTTACAAGCTATACATGATATACATCACGAAGTACAGTGCAACGAAACGCTTACTCATCATAGGTGTGTTCATTTAGCAGGTTAGCGTTTTTCTCAGCGCTTGTTAGCAAAGCAAACCTATCTAGCTAGTTATCCTAGTAACGTTATGTTGCATGCAGTCAGAATAAAGGCCATTCCTCACTAGGATTCAACAACACAGTAGCTAGCTAGCTGGCTACGGTTGTTTGGGGGAAGCATTCGTTTGCTAGTAAAACTTCCCTTATTCAATTAACTGTAGCTTAAAAAAAAAAAAAAAAAAAGTGGCCTATGGCTAGGGTGAAAAGGGGAACTGTTTCCACCAGCCGTTTCAATGTGTGAAGCAGTGGTGGGTTGAGTTTAAATGCCACAGTTTAAATGCTTCCTATCTAAAATATGGCTGTTTCCTGCCTTGCTGAACAGAATCATGAAATGTTTAAGGAATGCACAGAAAATTGTGACCTATATGCACACTTAACATATACCCTATCAATAGCAGAGACATGGATATTTTTTTATCTGTTTTCTGCTCTGTTTATGGTTGTACCTTCAGTTTGGTTGTCATGTCAACTGCCACTTCCTGCAGAATGTAATTATGGGGGTCTTTAATAACTGTTGATAAATTGTGTGTCCACAGCATTCATCCAATCAGACACAATCTTAGAGGTACTTCACTTTGGTGAGGGAGGCCACTTGCAGGTAAGACACTGTTTCCTTGCACTCCCCTCCTAGCGACCACACATACAGGCACATGGCCCTCCCTATACAACATGCACAGCTGAACACACTATCATGCTACTATGTAGTTACTAAGTAAACACCAGGTGAATAGTAGCCTGTGAAATTAAGTATGATCGCTGTAAAAAAAATTAAGATGAGATCAGTATCTTCTTCTGAAAGCTATAACTTTCACTTTCTCTGCTATATGACTAATATAATCTGTATTTTGACCAACGTAGTCTGTGGTTAGCCTTTATCAGGTGTCCTTGGTCGTGTACTGTTCACTGTTTCAGACGAGACAAACGACAGACAGGACTTATGTGAGATGTGCCTGAAAATACATCAGTGGCAGTGCTACTACCCAGATATCACAGTTTACAAACATGTCACTGTGACAGAGGCTAGCTAGCTCTGGTCGGCCCGGCGGGGTCAGCACAGCTTTGTATCCACTGTCCATCCCTCATGTCGCTGCTCTGAAAGTCAATCACCCCTCCTCTCTCCACCACTGTTCACCTGCCTTTGCTGATTGGCCTTACCAGAGCAGTCGAGGGCTCAACTCATTTAAACCCCCTGTGGAGTATTTTCATAGTAGATAAACATCCCCTCTTTATTTATGGTCAAATAGGCCTAGCATTGCAATAGAGTTCAGGGAATGGTAAAGAAACAACAGGTAGACTTCCCCCACTTCACAGGTTAAATGGTCCTAGATGACAGAATAAAGACGGGTGTGAACAAGGGCAGTAGTTGTGAAAATAGAAGTAGTGGATAAACATGGCCAAGGCCGGTTTGATTGAATCCGGTCCATACTCTCAGAGATGTTAAGCGCCTGCTGCTCATCTGATGGTTACCTAACATGAATTTACTTTGTTTTTCAGATGGAGCCTGACCTTCACCTGGGTTCATATCATCAAAAAATGTATGTTTTTTTGTTATCTTTGAATGCACCTGTTACTGTCTCTGTGAGAGAGCTATATTTGTTGTTGCAGGCCACAATGACTGTAAACACTTCATTCATTAAACAGCCTTAAGTATCACCAGTCATACCTAGATAGACTCCAAACGGGAGGGTAAACCCTGGCATTAGAATCACAACTCTACTCAGCTCATCTATGCCTGAGTTGTTATGGTTTTATGGCGGCTAGCCAATTCCATACTTAGTGGCTTGGCTTCGTTGTAGACCGATCCTCCGCGTGCCACACCTTGTTCTCATTTTCATCAACATAGTCATGCTCTAGGAGGTGGGGCTGGCTGGCTGCTGGGAGGTGGGGTTGGTTGACTGGCTGCTGGGAGGTGGGGCTCGTTGGTTGGTTGACTGGCTGCTGGGAGGTGGGGCTCGTTGGTTGGCTGACTGGCTGCTGGGTTTCACTGGAGGTAGACTACAGGGGAGGGTGTGGGTCTGTGTGTGTCCTAGTCACTATGGAGAGAGTGGAGGGATGATCAGACAAGTGTTTTCAGAAGGCTCAATCATAGCCCCCCTGCATCAAGGCAGTGTTAGGATCACATCGGGAGGGGACTGGGTTTATATAGCATGTGGACAGACCTTGTTAAAAGGGAGAAGTGGATTCCACAAAGTCTCACCCTGTGAAAACGTTACCCATTTTAGACCTTAGTTATGAAGCTTGCAGCCAAACTAGGTGGCAGTTAGCTACACTTAACCTTGGGGGTATTTTGAAGAACCAGTCTGAGACATGTTAATCCTCTTGAATAATCAGTGTGTGTGTGTCCTGCCTTGCGTTCCTCAGGCCAGGTTAACCGTCACCCTCAGCCAATGAGGTTTCTCCAGATCAGAGGCCTGTCTCTTCCCTTACGTAAACACACACAGGTGAACTAAACAGGCTTCCAGGGATTGTTGGGCGTTCTGTGTGTTTCTGTGCTAGGGTCATAAAGTAACTCAATCTGCACAATGCACTCCACACAGGCAGCACACGCCCATCAGGCAGAAATACCTGTGGCGTGACATAATAAGTCGGTCAGATCACCATGGGAACAACATCAGAAAACTTGGATGGGATGAAAGGCCACAGTGCAGCATGTCATCGTGGCGATTGTTGTCAATAGCAGCAAGGTTTCCTTCCCATGACATTCTGTGTGCCCTGGCTCTATTTTGGTGTAAAAATAGCCAAAGCACAGGCCGTGGTTGGGATATTTGAGTGCTTCTCTCCAGGGCTTTAGTGGAGGGCTCCAGGGCTTTTCCTTCACATGAATCGAATTGGTCTGAAAGTGTCTTGCTCTACTTTTTCTCTGTCCTTCATCTGCTCTGAAACTAACAGAGACTATTATGGTGGATGGGATCATGTGAGTTTCACAGAGGGATCTCCTCTCAGTATCACACACAGACAAGTGCTCCTCTCTCCCCTGCTCAGAGAGAGCCTTAGGTGAACATCTGGGGTGTCTAGCAACGTGCTTGCCTCTATTGCAGTGGTTCTCAGCTGGTTTTGCCTTGGGACCCAAATTAAACCAGGTTGTCTCAGTCGTGACCCAATATTCGCATCCTGGATTATTTGTATTTTTTAAAACAGTTTTTAATGCTATATTGATAGTAAATGTACCAATTTATATGACAACGGAACAAAACGCAACATTCAGCAATTTCAAATATTTTACTGAGTTACAGTTCGAATAAGGAAATCAGTCAATTGAAATACATTTATTTGGCCCTCATCTATGGATTTCACATGACTGGGAATGCAGTTGTGAGGCCGGTTGGACATACTGCCAAATTCTTTAAAACAACGTTGGATGCTGCTTATGGTAGAGAAATTAACATTCAATTCTCTGGCAACAGCTCTGGTGGACATTCCTGCAGTCAGCATGCCAATTGCATGCTCCCTCAACTTGAGACATCTGTGGCATTGTGTTGTGTGACAAAACTGCACATTTTAGAGTGGCCTTTTATTGTCCCCAGCACAAGTTGTACCTGTGTAATGATCATGCTGTTTAATCAGCTTCTTGATATGCCACACCTGTCAGGTGGATGGATTATTTTGGCAAACGAGAAATGATCACTAACAGGGATGCACACAATTTGAAAGAAATAAGCTTTTTGTGCGTATGGAACATTTCTGGGATCTTTTATTTCAGCTCATGAAACATGGGACCAACACTTTACATGTTGCGTTTTATATTTTTGTTCAGTGTATTTCATGCCTTCAACTATGTAGGCCTAGATCTATTTTCATATGTATTCATTCTGATAGACCCTAATGGCAGCAGCTCATATCGACGATGACAATGGAGTCCCCTCACGCCTCCCTCTCTGACCACCTTTTGTCCTCTTAGTTGACTTGATTCCTCTCCATTGTTTGTGTAAACGTCCCTAAGGGAAATTACGTTTATCTCTCTTATCTAGAAGTGTTGGGTTAAACCAGTGCTTAGATTGGAGGAAGTTGGTATAACTCAGTTGAAGGAAGTGATGTCCCAAGTGGATGAAAATTAATTGAATTGAAAAATGAAATTGAATGGCACTGAATGGTCTCGCTGCATAAAGTGAATTGCTCGAAGAGCATGGAATTCAATTGAGAGATCAATACAAATGGAAAAGCAAGGTGGTGAATAGATTTTGTAGTGGACATTTATGCTGTTAGTTATTGTATGCCTGTGGCTTAAAGTCTGACTTGATAATGAAGGTCAATGTCCAGACTCCAGGGCAGCATGTGTGTATGAGAAGGCAGGCGGTGCTCAGAAGAGCCTTATGTTGTGGTGATCTCGTAGGGCTGCAGGTTCCTGTTCTATTACACCGGTGTGTCTAGTCTACGGTTTCTAACAGCTGAGATGCCGTGTTTGCTCTTTGTCATTAATCTCTGAAGATGGATATCTCACATGGTTTATCAAGACACACAATGATTAGGCTACTTCAGTACTTTTCCAGCTCTACATATTTTGCAATGTTCTGCTTTGGCTATTTAAATCAGTTTCGATTAAGTTGAAAGAGCCCTTATGGTTTTTGGAACTGTAAATGCAAGCCTGTCAATTTTCCTTTCACTTTGACTTGAGGTTTCTGTCCACAAAACCAAGGACTGATTGACCACAAAAGCATGAAATAACACAGCGACTTATGTATTTTCTCTCAAGACGACAAGTTGTGTTCAGCTTGTTAATAGTAGTCATTCATTGTCAAGTCAGCATCATGTTAAGGTCAACTCAATGGCCCTTCTATCTGAGATCTTGATTAGATTTAGTAACATGTGGTTAATCTGTTTCCCCCCCCCCCTCCATTTTATTAACCTTTCTCCTTTTATTTTTGTCTTTCCATTGCTTTGGCGTCATGCCAGTTATTATATATATTGCAGTAGGTGTCTATTTCTGGCTAGCAGCCAGTATCATTATGTTTCTTTTACATTTCTCTACACTATGCGGAAGATTCATTTTCTGGCCAGCATTCAGCGGGTTTAAAGTTCTATAGACAGTCTCTATAATATGCAGAAGAGACTTTTGCGGTGTTCAGTTGCTTAGTTGGAACAGGAAATGTCTTGTGGCTTTTTAGTCACGATGCTAACAGACGATGCATCTGTTCCTTTTTATAGGCTAAACTTCACACCTCTCCTCCACCCCCGGCGAACTAACACCTCCAAGCGCCCATCTATCTATCTGCTGACATTGCTTTAAAAAAACATTGTCTACATCCAGAAGTTGACGAATGCACACCATGCAGAAAGGCAATATCATAATATTTGCATTTTGAAACCTTCTCAAGAATTTAGAGTGATTGATTGATTGACCGTTATATGGCCCATTAAACAAAGCATGATTTGTATTCTGAAGCGATAGGGGAAAACTACAGGGAATCTACCTCTGTTTACATTATGAATAATATGATCTACAATCAATATAGGCTAAACACCGTCTGTGTTGTTTGGCACCTGGAGATGTATGTTCAAACCCAGTTATTAACGCTGCAAAATGCAGGAGTGGAGGAGTCATTCTGATAGAGATCTGGTTGGTTTTAGAGCTCCTCTGTAAACACACACACTACCTACCACACATAGACAGAGGGGTGTGTATGATTTACCCAGCTGAAGGTCAATCTCCCATAGCTACAGTGAGGGGGAAAAAGTATTTGATCCCCTGCTGATTTTGTACGTTTGCCCACTGACAAAGACATGATCAGTCTATAATTTTAATGGTAGGTTTATTTGAACAGTGAGAGACAGAATAACAACAACAAAAATCCAGAAAAACGCATGTCAAAAATGTTATACATTGATTTGCATTTGAATGAGGGAAATAAGTATTTGACCCCTCTACAAAACATGACTTAGTACTTGGTGGCAAAACCCTTGTTGGCAATCACAGAGGTCAGACGTTTCTTGTGTGCAAACCTGGTGGCCAACTACATCTCGGGAGGGATTTTGTCCCACTCCTCTTTGCAGATCTTCTCCCAGTCATTAAGGTTTCGAGGCTGACGTTTGGCAACTCGAACCTTCAGCTCCCTTCACAGATTTTCTATGGGATTAAGGTCTGGAGACTGGCTAGGCCAGTCCAGGACCTTAATGTGCTTCTTCTTGAGCCACTCAGTTGTTGCCTTGGCTGTGTGTTTTGGGTCATTGTCATGCTGGAATACCCATCCACGACCCATTTTCAATGCCCTGGCTGAGGGAAGGAGGTTCTCACCCAAGATTTGACGGTACATGGCCCGTCCATCGTCCCTTTGATGCGGTGAAGTTGTCCTGTCCCCTTAGCTGAAAAACACCCCCAAAGCATAATGTTTCCACCTCCATGTTTGACGGTGGGGATGGTGTTCTTGGGGTCATGGGCAGCATTCCTCCTCCTCCAAACACGGCGAGTTGAGTTGATGCCAAAGAGCTCGATTTTGGTCTCATCTGACCACAACACTTTCACCCAGTTCTCCTCTGAATCATTCAGATGTTCATTGGCAAACTTCAGACGGGCCTGTACATGTGCTTTCTTGAGCAGGGGGACCTTGCGGGCGCTGCAGGATTTCAGTCCTTCACGGCGTAGTGTGTTACCAATTGTTTTCTTGTTGACTATGGTCCCAGCTGCCTTGAGATCATTGACAAGATCCCCCCGTGTAGTTCTGGGCTGATTCCTCACCGTTCTCATGATCATTGCAACTCCACGAGGTGAGATCTTGCATGGAGCCCCAGGCCGAGGGAGATTGACAGTTCTTTTGTGTTTCTTCCATTTGCGAATAATCGCACCAACTGTTGTCACCTTCTCACCAAGCTGTTTGGCGATGGTCTTGTAGCCCATTCCAGCCTTGTGTAGGTCTACAATCTTGTCCCTGACATCCTTGGAGAGCTCTTTGGTCTTGGCCATGGTGGAGAGTTTGGAATCTGATTGATTGCTTCTGTGGACAGGTGTCTTTTATACAGGTAACAAGCTGAGATTAGGAGCACTCCCTTTAAGAGTGTGCTCCTAATCTCAGCTCATTACCTGTATAAAAGACACCTGGGAGCCAGAAATCTTTCTGATTGAGAGGGGGTCAAATACTTATTTCCCTCATTTAAAATGCAAATCAATTTATAACATTTTTGACATGTGTCTTTCTGGATTTTGTTGTTGTTATTCTGTCTCTCACTGTTAAAATAAACCTACCATTAAAATTATAGACCGATCATTTCTTTGTCAGTGGGCAAATGTACAAAATCAGCAGGGGATCAACTACTTTTTTCCCTCCCTGTATGTTCAGAGCATGTGCGGTTCTTTTCCACCTCGCTCTCTTAGAACACACACGACCACAGTAGTAGCACAACTAAGTTCTAATGTACAACTATGACTTCATAGAATTAATTTGTATTCCAAGTGTAGGCCTTGGAATCCAAGGAATAATAAAACACATTCCTTGTTGCACTCCTACTTCATTTAGAAGCAAATGCGTTCTTAACGATGCATAACATTGGTCATGAATCCACAGTGACACCTTTTTATGACTTGCTTGTGTGCTGTCGGCAAATACGTGTTGTTCAGTGAAGTCATACTGTCTGTGATGTGTGCAGGGAGCGGTTTCCCGTTTGGTTGCCTTGTTTCTCATGAAAAGATCTTGTTTGTCTGACCTGAATACACATGCAATTACACTCTGTTTAATGCATAAATATGACTTCAATTTTCTTTGATAATATGCAAAAACTATTTTTAGGGGAAATTACAATATGTAGTCAGTCAAAATGATAAAGGGGAAACAACCTTGCAGTACATCACTTGTTTTTGCAAAGCAGGTTTGGCAGGTTTCCTGTCTTGTTTTGGCGGTTGCCCTGAGTTTTTACACGTTAACCTGATTTGCGTTACACACACACACTTCTCTTGGAACACAAGCGTTAGGCAATAGGAAGTAGGACTGCATCCTTGTTTCCCCTCTGTTCCTCACTATGGTTCCTCTCTTCTCTCCCACAGCTCACCCTTACAGAGAGGGAACAGCAGGCCCATACGCTTTGAGCCGCCAATGCTGGACTTCCATGAACAGTGAGTTAACCTCTACCTACAGATACACCTGCAGTTAGAGCGTTGGGCCAGTAACTGTAAAGGTAGCTAGTTCGAATCCCCGAGCCAACAAGGTGACAAATTGGTCAATGTGCCCTTAAGCAATGCACTTAACCCTAATTGCTCCAGGGTTGCTGTTGATAATGGCAGACCCTGGCCGTGACCCCACTCTCCGAGGGTGTCTTGGGGGGGAGTTGGGATATGCAAAAAAAACCATAACAAGCATTTCGCTACACCCGCAATAACTGCTAAATATGTGGATGTGACCAATACAATGATATCTGATAATACAGACTTGTACATGTGTGAAATAGGACAAATACAAACAACCACCTAATTATTACATCAACTATTCTGTTGATTTGCTTCCTGACACTTTGTTGAGATTACGTTCTGTGCATCCCCCACTCAGATCATTTGACAACATGGCATTGATACGTTTTAAACGTGCTCTTATCTGCTGGGTGTTTCCACAGTTAAGATAAGTGGACTTCTGGAACATGATCGTTTCCCTAGTTTTATCAAGATCTGATAAGAGAGCGGCAAGGAAATGGAAATAAAATAGATTTTCTTTGAGACTCCTTTTGACCCCATGAGGCCTATGTGTTTCTGACCACTATATGTTTTTGCGACAGCTATATGTTTGTGCGACAGCTTTCACAACAATATTTCTCTTCCTGTTCCCAGGCCTGTTGGAATGCCAAAAATGGAGAAAGTTTATTTGCACAATCCTAGTGCAGAGGAAATAAACTTGATATCTATATCAGCAACAACTGCACATTTTCATGCATCATTCTTTCAAAACAGGGTGAGTAGCTAATAAGTATAACCCTATGGCTGTGTCCCAATCCACAAGTATGCAGCATTTCAAGGCAGGACATCAAAATGCTGCCTTTGAATTCTGTCTTAAATGTCAGTTACCTACTGAGAAAAGTGCTACCTATAAAGGTATGTGCTTTTGTAGGCAGCAGGCAGGTAGGCAGCAAGCTGCCTTTTGGTTTGGGACACAGCCGATATCTCCTGTCTTGAGGAGTCTCCTCCTCTGCAGGCATACGCGTGGCTCGTTCAAGGGCTGAAAGAATAAGCCCCTGTGTTTGTCGGTGGACAGAGGCACATTTATCTGACCATTCTGATTCCCCTGCCTGTCAGTCTGACCATGTGACCTGGCTGTTTGTTTGGGTATTATGTGCTGATTTTCTACTTTTTGAAAAACAAGAGGCACGTGCTCAACTGTCAACATGCCGCCATCTTGGGCCTCTTAACTGAATTGTAAAACTCTTGACAGCTCTGAACCCAGTGCACTCGTGAGCAGAGGAGACGGTGAATGGCGTGACTGTGCTGCTCAGCATGTTTGAGTCCTGAGACTAGAGCAGTAAAATCGAAGTAAAATAAGGAAGAATGTGGACTGGAGCAAAATGCACCCTCTTTCCACCTGGTCTTTAAACTCTGACATTTTGTATTGTTAAAACGATTTGTTTATGTCTGGCTGTCTCCCAGTATCTTATAAAACAATATGGCATCATGACAAGAATCTTCGTTTTACTGCGTCATCACATTAATTAATTTAACATGTTCAATAAATGTTCTCAATCTTAATTGGTTGGTTATATTGACATTTCCAAAAGTAGCTCGACCTTTTGATTCCAATCTTTTCATTGGATAATTTTCGTCTTCTTTCTCCACAGTTAATTCATCCGATCCCTTCTCTTTGTTTCTCCCTGTAGATAATTCCACCAGGGGGGAATACATCGTTTGATGTGGTCTTCCTCGCTCGAGTAGTAGGGAATGTAGAGAATACTTTATTTATTAACACCTCGCATCATGGAGTGTTTACATATCAGGTGTGTATGAATACATATGTTTACGTAATAATATGTCAATATATCTATACTAATAATTAATCATGGAGTGTTTACATATCAGGTGTGTACGGATACATATGTTTACGTAATAATATGTCATATCTATACTAATAATTAATCATGGAGTGTTTACATATCAGGTGTGTACGGATACATATGTTTACGTAATAATATGTCAATATATCTATACTAATAATTAATCATGGAGTGTTTACATATCAGGTGTGTACGGATACATATGTTTACGTAATAATATGTCAATATATCTATACTAATAATTCTGTAATGTCTGTATACTGGAGATATGTTCTGGACACTGTATGTAAGGGTCCTTTATGGGTTGCATTTTCTGCTGTTTTTTTTCTCGTGCCTGCCACTTGAAAACCAGCACACAGTGTGATCCTCTGGATCTGAGTGCTCTAGATCAGGTAGATCCCTGCTGTAGATCACGTAGATCCCTGCTGTAAATCCTGAGTGTAATGTTGTGCTGTTGGTTGTCTTATCCCCTGCAGGTGTTTGGTGTGGGTATCCCCAACCCCTACAGGCTGCGGCCGTTCATAGGGGCCCGAGTCCCAGTCAACAGCAGCTTCTCTCCACTCATAAACATCCACAACCCACATAGTGAGCCACTGCAGGTAGTGGAGATGTACTCTAGTGGAGGAGACCTGCACCTGGAGCTCCCCACAGGGCAGCAGGGAGGAACGCACCATCTGTGGGTGTGTATAGATCAGGACAGTCAGGGTCTTTATATATAATCCATCAGGAGATTAGTATCTTTTTTACTTTCATGCATAACATAACTTCTACACAATTGGGATTGGAATTGAGACATTCCTGACCGGAGCTGAATTTTAAATGAGGCAACTACTTGACCCCTGAATAAAAGAAAGGACTAAACTTGTATTTTCTGTTCTTCCTTCCTGTGTGGTTCTCAGGAGATTCCCCCGTTTGAGACGAAGGGGGTGATGAGAGCCAGTTTCTCCTCTAGAGACGCAGACAACCACACAGCCTTCATCAGAATCAAAACAAACGCCTCCAACCAGGATGAGTTCATCATTTTGCCTGTAGAAGTGGAGGTCACCTCAGGTACGTTTCCAATAGCAACGCCTCACACCATATGTTTCCAATAACAACGTTGTTTCCAATAGCAACGCCTCACACCATACGTTTCCAATAACAACGTTGTTTCCTATAGCAACGCCTCACCGTACATTTCCAATAGTAAACACCTCACACTTGTACACTTTTAGCTGTGACTGGCTGATTGAGCCGTCTCCTGATCCTGTGTATCTTTGTCCTCAGCACCGGGAATCTACTCCTCAATAGAAATGCTGGACTTTGGTACGCTACGCTCACAAGGTATGCTGTGTTCACTTCACGTTTATACCCTCATTCTCGAATGGGTCAGGCTTTCATTAAATATTTTTGTGATTTGGTCATTTGAAAATGGTACTTCGGTGATTGATTTGTTGTTTGTTGTATATTCTGTTGAAACGTTTCACAGATCGACCAAAGCAGTTGAATTTGCACCTTCTCAATTCCGGTGCGAAAGATGTGCAGATAATGAGTGTTCGAGCGACGCCGTCAAACGATGCCGTCATGATAGACTTCAAGGCTGTCACGCTAAAAGCTGGAGAACATAGATACACCAAAGTCGCCAGTATTAGTTTTGATGGTAAGTGAGCTATATTGCTCACTACTCCCCATACCTTCTGGAATTTCTCCTGCATATTGCACCTCTGCCTTTTTGTTCCAACGTGTTTTGACACAATTTTTTTATATTTTTATTTCCAGCATCGAAAGTTCAAAAAGCTTCCCAGTCCTCCGGTAAAATAACAGTAAAAGCGAAAGAGAAAAGCTACTCCAAACTTGAAATCCCATACCTAGCTGAAGTTCTAGAAGGGTATGTGTTTCTGTTTCTGTGACCAATAACAATGACAAGTAGTTTATTTAATCACTGAAAATAAGTTAATAGTTTTTTTTTTTTAACCTAAACAAATCACCATTACAAAATGTCAGAACAATTGAAACGTCTTCCCTAACTCTCCTCTCCATCTCTGTGTGTCAGGTATTTGGGGTTTGACCATACGGTCACGTTGTTCCACATCAGGGACAGTGTGCTAGAGCCAGTGGTCAAGCCCATCCACCTCACCAACACTTTCCACTTTGCCATCCGCATCCATGACGTGTCCCTTCCAGACGAAGCCAAGACCATGTTCTTAGTAAGTTACTGTTATGCACTGTACTGTGTTCCAGAGGCCTGTTGCTGTCGGGCAACTCAATGCTTGCAGGCTTTTGTTCCAATGCAGCTCAAACACAACAAACCTCAATCAATTACTAATCACGGCTCTCAAGTCTTAAGATAAGAAATGGCTACTTTATTGATCCCTGGGGGGACTTTGGTTTGTCAAGTCTTAAACCTGTTGAACCGCTCTGTTGTCCTCTGAGTGTGTCCTAATGCTGCAGCATATATGAACGGTCCCCTGTGTTTTCCTCCTCAGGTGCAGAACTTCAGTGAGCCAGTGTTGATCCCCCCTCAGGAGTCTCGCTACATCTTCTCCCTCCACTTCCAGCCCGTCCGGCCATCCAATCACATCGACAGCAACATACTGCTGGTCACCAACGCCTCTAAGTTCCACCTCCCCGTCCGCGCCTACACTGGCTTCCTGGAGGTACTGCAACACACACACACACACACTGGGGAAAACGCATACACACTGGGGAAAACACACACACACTGGGGAAATAGTGTACACACACACACATGAAATCGAACACACATACACACGAACACGCTCAAGCACATTGGGGGAAACACCTGCAAATGTATATTGTTATGAAACCCGTAACTAGACCTTCACCTCTTGGTCGCCAGTCCAAGCAGATTATTATTTGTTCAGATGGTGACGAAACATAAATTCCAAACGGGCAAGCCTAAACTAAAGATTCAAAATCAAAAACGAAAGGCCATGAACCAGCAGCCTCACGGCTTGTAAGATGGGACGCTGACTGACGATCACCTGATGTGCTTATCAACCAGGCTGAACAGGGTTCCTGCTGCCCCCTGGGGGAATGGAGTGTGGAAGTGTATCCTGTATAGGGTGTTTGGGTATGTCCTAACGCTAACCTTGCCCCTATATTATAACAATATACTCACCTTTTTTCCTTCCCCTCTTCCCCCCTCCTCCCAACAGCCCTTTGTCCTGCCGCCCAGTCTGCAAGAGAACTTCCTGGACTTTGGTGTTCTCAGCGCTACAGACACCAGCAGCATCCTGTTTGTGGTTGTCAACAGCAACCCCATCGAGGTAGGCTCAACCTCTGCTCTGTAGAAATCCCATAATAAAGCAGTACAGCTCTCTTTTTGAATGCATGTGTAACCATGGGTAACTATTGAAATGCTTCACTAGAGGTAGCTGCCTAGTATCTCTCCTTCACCTCAACCAATTTGAAAACAGATTTGATTCGTGTGACGAAAAAAGAGACAAGGAGTAATTTTATCACTCTCTCACTCGTACAGCTGGTGATCCGGCCGTGGCTGATGACAGGAGAGAGTCTGAGTGTGGAGCTGTTGAAGATAGAGAGAGGCAACAGAACCACGGTGCTGACCAAGAGCAGAGAGCTACACAACGCCTCAGCTTCTCCTCACAAAACGGTAACAGCATCTCACCTACTACTGTCCCTGGGCTGGCTGAGTCTAACAGTACTTGAAGACAATGGAGATAATTTAAGCCTGCTATGAAATATTATGAAATGTTCCCCTCTTCTTTAAAAAACAACAACATTTTAGTCATTTAGCAGATGCTGTTATCCAGAGCGACTCAGTTAGTGCATTCATCTTAACATAGCTAGGACAACCACATATATACAGTGCTATGTAAAAGTACTACTTTTGCATATTTGTGATACTGAATTATCAGATCTTCAACCAAAACCTAATATTAGATAAAGGGAACATAAGTGAACAAATAACACAACAATTACATATTTATTTAATTTATTTCATAAACAAAGTTATGCAACACCCAATTCCCCAGTGTGAAAAAGTAATTGTCCCCTTACACTCAATAACTGGTTGTGCCACCTTTAGCTGCAATGACTCCAACCAAATGCTTCCTGTAGTTGTTGATCAGTCTCTCACGTCGCTGTGGAGGAATTTTGGCCCACTCTTCCATGCAGAACTGCTTTAACTCAGTGACGAGTGGGTTTTCAAGCATGAACTGCTCGTTTCAAGTCCTGCCACAACATCTCAATTGGGATTAGGTCTGGACTTTGACTAGGCCATTCCAAAACTTCCAATTTGTTGCTTTTTAGCAATTTTCATGTAGACTTGATTGTGTGTTTTTGATCATTGTCTTGCTGCATGACCCAGCTGCGCTTCAGCTTCAGCTCACAGATGGATGGTCTGACATTCTCCTGTAGAATTCTCTGATACAGAGAAGAATTCATGGTTCCTTCTATTAAGGCAAGTCGTCCAGGTCCTGAGGCAGCAAAGCATCCCCAAACCATCACACCAACACCACCACCATGCTTGACCTTTGGTATGATGTTCTTACTGTGGAATGCAGTGTTTGGTTTTACTTTTTCACACAGGGGAATTTGGGTGTTGCATAACTTTGTTTGAAATAAATATGTAGTTGTTGTGTTATTTGTCCACTTATGTTCCCTTTATCTAATATTAGGTTTTGGTTGAAGATCTGATAACATTCAGTATCACAAATATGCAAAAGTAGAGAGAATTTCAAAGGGGGCAAATACTTTTTCATAGCACTGTATGTGTGTGTGTATATGTATATACATATATATATATATGTATATGTATATGTATATGTATATGTATGTATACATATATGTTAATCATTAATATCTCTCTGTTAGTCTTCTCTTTCTCTCTCTAACTCCTCCTCTTCTGTACTCTATCGCTCTTATGCGCCTCTCTCTCGCGCTCTCTTCTCGCTCATCTACCTCCTATCTATCTCTCTCTATCTTCTTCTCTATCCTCTCTTATCTCTATCAACACATGAAGTCGAGTTTACATACACTTAGTTGGATATTAAACTCGTTTCACATCCACAAGTTTCTTGTACAAACATCGTTTGGCAGTCGTTAGGACACTACTTTGCATGACCAAGTATTTCCAAATGTTTACAGACAGTATTTCACTTTTAGTCCTGTACACAATTCACGAAGAAATGATGTCACTGATCATGGCTTTAGAAGCTTCTGATAGGCTAATTGACATCATTTGAGTCAATTGGAGGTGTACCTGTGGATGTATTTCAAGGCCTACCTTGAAACTCAGTGCCTCTTTGCTTGACATTATGGGAAAATCAAAAGAAATCAGCCAAGACCTCAGAAAAAATATTGTAGACCTCCACAAGTCTGGTTCATCCTTGGGAGCAATTTCCAAACGCCTGAAGGTACCACGTTCATCTGTACAAACAATAGTACGCAAGTATAAACACCATGGGACCACGCAGCTATCATACCACTAAGGAAGGAGACGCGTTCTGTCTCCTAGAGATGAATGTACTTTGGTGCGAAAAGTGCAAATCAATCCCAGAACAACAGCAAAGGACCTTGTGAAGATGCTGGAGGAAACAGGTACAAAAGCATCTATATCCACAGTAAAACGAGTCCTATATCGACATAACTTGAAAGGCTGCTCAGCAAGGAAGAAGCCACTGCTCCAAAACTGCCATAAAAAAAGCCAGGCTACGGTTTGCAACTGCACATGGGGACAACTGCACATGGGGACAACTTTTTTGGAGAAATGTCCTCTGGTCTGATATAATAAAAATAGAACTGTTTGGCCATAATGACCATCGTTATGTTTGGAGGAAAAAGGGGGTTGCTTGCAAGCCGAAGAACACCATCCCAACCGTGAAGCACGGGGGTGGCAGCATCATGCTGTGGGGGTGCTTTGCTGCAGGAGGGTCTGGTGCACTTCACAAAATAGATGGCATCATGAGGAAGGAATATTATGTGGATATATTGAAGCAACATCTCAAGACATCAGTCAGGAAGCTTGTGGAAGGCTACCTGAAACGTTTGACCCAAGTTAAACAATTTAAAGGCAATGCTACCAAATACTAATTGAGTGTATGTAAACTGCTGACCCACTGGGAATGTGATCAAAGAAATAAAAGCTGAAATAAATAATTCACTATTATTCTGACATTTTCACATTTTAAAAATAAAGTAGTGATCCTGACTGACCTAATACAGGGAATTTTTACTTGGATTAAATGTCAGGAATTGTGAAAAACTGAGTTTAAATGTATTTGGCTAAGGTGTATGTTAACTTCCGACTGTGTGTGTATATGTATGTATGTGGTGTTTGTGTGGTATTAGTATAATGGCAACACGGACTTTCAACTCCCTCCAAAGATTTTCTATGGGGTTGAGATCTGGAGACTGGCTAGGCCACTCCAGGACCTTGAAATGCTTCTTACGAAGCCAGTCCTTCGTTGCCCGGGCGGTGTGTTTGGGATCATTGTCATGCTGAAAGACCCAGCCACGTTTCATCTTCAATGCCCTTGCTGATGGAAGGAGGTTTTCACTCAATCTCACGATACATGGCCCCATTCATTCTTTCCTTTACACGGATCAGTCGTCCTGGTCCCTTTGCAGAAAAACAGCCCCAAAGCATGATGTTTCCACCCCCATGCTTCACAGTAGGTATGGTGTTCTTTGGATGCAACTCAGCATTCTTTGTCCTCCAAACACGACGAGTTGAGTTTTTACTAAGAAGTTCTATTTTGGTTTCATCTGACCATATGACATTCTCTGGATCATCCAAATGCACTCTAGCAAACTTCAGACGGGCCTGGACATGTACTGGCTTAAGCAGGGGGACACGTCTGGCACTGCAGGATTTGAGTCCCTGGCGGCGTAGTGTGTTACTGATGGTAGGCTTTGTTACTTTGGTCCCAGCTCTCTGCAGGTCATTCACTAGGTCCCCCCGTGTGGTTCTGGGATTTTTGCTCACTGTTCTTGTGATCGTTTTGACCCTACGGGGTGAGATCTTGCGTGGAGCCCCAGATCGAGGGAGATTATCAGTGGTCTTGTATGTCTTCCATTTCCTAATAATTGCTCCCACAGTTGATTTCTTCAAACCAAGCTGCTTACCTATTGCAGATTCAGTCTTCCCAGCCTGGTGCAGGTCTACAATTTTGTTTCTGGTGTCCTTTGACAGCTCTTTGGTCTTGGCCATAGTGGAGTTTGGAGTGTGACTGTTTGAGGTTGTGGACAGGTGTCTTTTATACTGATAACAAGTTCAAACAGGTGCCATTAATACAGGTAACGAGTGGAGGACAGAGGAGCCTCTTAAAGAAGAAGTTACAGGTCTGTGAGAGCCAAGGTATATATATATATATATATATATATATATAAACAAATTATTTTAGCAGACGCTCTTATCCAGAGCGACTTACAGGAACAATTGGGGTTAAGTGCATTGCTCAGGGGCACATCGACAGATTTTTCACCTAGTCGGGGAAATCGAACCAGCAACCTTTCGGTTACTTGCCCAACCTCTTAACCACCACTAGGCCACCTGCCAACCCTACATATCCATAGCTATCAGCAAAGCCAGAGCTAGTAAATTGTCTTTGTCTTGAGTCCTTAGTAGTGAGTACACTCATGATCCTGTACAGATGGAGTAGAAAGGAGGTGTGTGTATAGATAACAGCAGAATGCTTTATTCATCTGCTAGGTAACACCAATAAAGTGGCCTTGTGTCTGTGAGCAGCAGGTAAAGTAGATGGAAATCAGGAGGCTGACTGACAGCTGTTGTTGTTCCACCTGCAGGTGATCCTAGCCTCGGGCTACTACGCTGCCTTCCGGGTCACCCTGGTGGCGAAAGACCTGGAGGGGGCCTACGACGGAGCTATCCACATCACAACAGACTACCAGGTATACCTGTCAGCTGGCCCACTGGCCCGTTGAAGTGCTACTGTCACTAAGTCATGCTATTTGAGTTGCTCGTGGCTAAGGCAACTATATACGTATTTTACTTTTGTGAAGTTCAATTTGGCCAGGGCTCACTTGAAATGGATTTACATCTCAATGTGACTTCTCTGGTTAAATAAAGGACACACACAAAAATAAAATCAATACATAAAATGCATTCATTTGTTCATTGTTGTGATGTTCAAGAATTGTCATTGATTTTCATTCTCTTCTGTAAACAGATATTAACGATACCAGTGAAAGCAGTCGTTGCAGTGGGCACGTTGACCAGCTATCCCAAACACATTGTCCTCCCGCCGTCTTTTCCGGTTAGACGAACAATACTTTACTGTTCATAGATATTGCTATATTGTTTTGAGTGTTTCAAACATTTTGTATTTTGCCTCTCTAATATTCAACATGTGCACAAGTAACCCCTGTTCTCCGTGTGTTCTGTCCCTCCCAGGGTAAAGTGGTGCAGCAGAGTCTAAGCATGGTGAGCTCGTTCTCTCAGAAGGTGACACTGCAGCAGATCCACTCTCTGACTGAGGACTCACGTTTCTACTACAGGAGACTGAAGAACAACCGGGACGAGCTGGAACCCAAACGCAAGTCAAAGGTCGCCAAGATTTATTTTGACGCCAGCTTGCAGTGTGGCGACCACTGTTATGTGGGAGTACCGTTTGTTCTGAAATGTGAGTGTTTCTGGTTATTGGGGTTAGTTTGCGGCTACACTTACCGAACTTCTGCTTTGCTGAAACATCTTGATCTTCTTTCAGCTGAGAGCAGACCGCCTGGGCTCTCAATGCAGGAGGATATGTGGGACGCGGACGTAGATTTGTATCAAATGCTCCGTCGGAGATGGAAAGAGCTGAAGGAGAGTTCAGGACACATGGCGGAGGCGGTGTTTGAGGCCAACGCTGACCTCCAGAAGAATATTGAGACCAGAGTGTCTGCTCAGCTGAAGTGGCCTTCTATCATTAACTCCTCCCGGCAGGTCCTGTTCCCTCTCACCAGCCTCACCAGCTCCTCGGTGAGGCAGATTCATTAACATCTATTCTATGGGAAGATCTCAATTGCGTACTCCTCATCTCCTTCTCAAAACCCATTGGATGAGAAAACCAGAAACCCTCCTCCAATGGGTTTTGAGAAGGATGTGAGGAGTATGCAATTGAGATCTTTCCTATGTCTAGCTTAGAATTCTAGATTGTCAGGCCAAGGGGAGGTTCCCAGACCATGTGACCAGAACAACTCTAAACTAAGTGCTATAACTAGAGCCAAGAGTTTTCCTGGTCAAGTCACACCGTCAAGAACAACTCGGGGTCCTATACATGCTACTGTATTGAGCCTTCTGTTCTAACCAGCTGTCTTCTGTTGTCAGGAGGTAGAGGTAGTCTTGGAGAACCCAGCTGACGTCCCTGTATATGTCCAAGTCCTGCCGTTAGCCCTCTATCCCAACCTCCCGGCCGTCACCGACAAACTAGCACAAATGTGAGTAGCCTTCAGTATGCACCTGTAGTTTGCTAATAATCATTGTGTCTGTCACCCCTTTGGCAAGATGTTTCATGTCACACTGATGGGGTTTCTCGACCGTAGAGTTAGAATGAATGGAAAATCATTCTAGAAGTAATTCTATGGTCTTAACTCCATTATCTCTTCACGCCAGGTTTCCCCTGGAGAGGCTCCCACACTTCACCCCCGACACAATGGAGTTCCAGGTACACAGAAACCACGTGAGTTTACTTTGACTTCACTTTCCTATCTTTTATTCCTGTGTGGTGCGAGTTGATCAGACACAATCATTTTGCAATGACCGTTTGAGACTTGACTCTTTCTCCTTCCCCTTTGCAGACGCCCGTGGTCAGAGGCAGCGCAGGCTTCGCCGAGGGCTCGACGACACAACCCTACGTTTACAACCTAATTCTGCAGCCAGAGGAAGTGAGGTCGCTACGTTTGAAATTCTCCCCTGTCAGCAACCACACCGTCACCTCTCTGCTTATTCTCAGGCATGTTAACCCTAAAGCCTGTAGGACTTCACCAAATGTCCACTTACATAAGTCTCTGGCTGCGTCCCAAATGGCACCCTGGTCCCTATATAGTGCACTACTTTTGACCAGGGCCTATGGGGTTGTGGTCAAAAGTAGTGCACTATATAGGGGATAGTGTGTCATTTTGAGGGAGGGGGGGGGGTGAAGTTCCGGCAAGCTCTGATGTTGCCTCTTAAAATCAGCAGCTGTTAGAGGCAGGGTGGTGATTTGAGAGACGTTCAGCTATGAATATCTCTATTGGACTGAGGAGGACGGGCAGAGGAGGGATATAGTCTCCCAGGTGCACTAGTAGCTACAGGGTTACAGAGAGAAGTCAGCAGTCAGAACATTATCTCTTTTACAGGCTTTGTCTGAGAGATGTGGAGGTCTCCTCACTCAAGTTCATTTGACGACTTGGCGATATTGGTGTTTGTATGCAATGAATTGCATTTTGAATCGTAGCAGTTTGTGTGAAATAAAATATAAACTGCTGTTTATTGTGCTAATGATTTGTATTTAACCTTTTGTTTACTGTGTGTGTCTACAGGAACAACCTGACGGTGGTAGAGATCCTGGTGGTGCAGGGTCAGGGCAGCTATGAGAGGCTGAAGGTAGGGGGCAAGGCCCCGGGTCCAGGGGGGTTCCTCAGGTTCAAGATGACTGAGTCTCTACTGAAGGACTGCACAGACAGTGAGTGGTCTACAATCCAGTTTGTTATAGATGCCCTGCATGCACAGACAGTGAGTGGTCTACAATCCAGTCTGTTATAGATGCCCTGCATGCACAGACAGGAAACCACTACTTATAGGCGGTTTGAACTCCGAGAATAGTCTTGAAGAGCCCTTTTGATAGTTTTTTAATTAAGCTTGAGTGTAAATTATACATTTGATCTCTAGTTAGGATTGGGCCCTGGACACACAACCCTCTGCAGTTAAAAATGGAAATGAAAGAGGAAGTTGTCTAAGGTATGTGACTTAACCGTGTGAACCTTGTTTCAGAAATTAAGTTGAAGGAGCCGAACTTCACTCTGAGAAAATCCTTTAAGTTAGAGAACACTGGACAGCTGGAAATGAACATTCAATCCACTGAAATAAACGGACGTCTCTGTGAGGGATTTGGCTTTAAAGTCCTTAATTGTCAAGAGTTTCCACTAAAACCCAATGCTTCAAAAGAAATCGTCATATTGTAAGTAAACCTATAGATAAATATCATCAGAATTGTTTTGTGCTCTCTTTGTTTAATCATTACTACCTCCAATGACCGACTGAAATGACCAACGTTGATGCATCTCTGCATCTCACTCAGGTTCACGCCAGACTTCACAGCGTCCAGGGTGATCCGGGAGTTAAAGTTCATCACCACCGGAGGCTCTTACTTTGTGTTCTCCCTCAACGCCTCTCTGCCCTACCACATGCTGGCTTCCTGTGCTGCTGTCCTCCCCAGACCCAACTGGGAGCTGGAGCTCTACATCATCATCTCTGTCATCATGAGGTGAGAGGAGGAGCCTCACAAATACACATTCTAATTCTATGGGCGGAACCCCACCTAGACCGTGTTTCCCCTAGATTAGTTCAGCGGCCCCGAACTCCGTATCCAGAACTAGGCTCATAGGTTGCACCCCGTATATCATGAATTATCTTGGCACAAATCATACCAGCCTTTCTACATGTATTTTTAACATTTATTTAGCTACATTTCTGGGACTGTTATTTCCCAAGTATCTAAGGCTGTAAAGATAACTAACGTTGCCTTTATCTGTTGTCCCCAGCTCTATGTTTCTGCTGGTGATTGTAGCAGCTTATCTGGAGGCCCTGGGGATCTGGGAGCCGTTCAAGAGACGCATGTGTTTCGAAACATCCAGCACCTCCATGGAGACAGGGAGGCCCTTTGACCTCAGGGAAATAGTACGACTTCAAAGCGATGCACAGTGAGTTTGTTTTCTGAATGTACGGTTTTTGTGTAAACTTTGTCTGATATGTTGACGTTAGCATCAGAAATGGTTTGATGAGTAGATCAGAGATGTTTAGTATGTAAATATTATATAACTATTAACTTGTCAGTATTTTGTCTCCCAGTATGAATGGCTATGGTGGAGAAGCCAACAACAACTCCCTGCGAGGGATGCCAGCCTCTGCCTCCAGGGCTGCTAGCAGGAACACCAGAGGAGGCCACAACCGAGGCCCCACACAACCCCCTATCCCCCCCTCCCAGCCAGGCTCCAAAGTCTCCGACGGCACCTCCTCCTCTGGCCAACAGACCAGCCGCAAGGCCCGGAGCCCCAAGCAGCCCCAGCCGGCTCCTCCAGAGAACCAGCAGCACCCCTCACAGGCTGGTCCTTCAGCCCCAGGAAGAGGTCCCCTAGATGGGCCACGCCGGCACAGCTCGGAGGACTCTGACTATGTAAGCTTGGTGGAGACTATGGATAAAGACCTGGACCGACCAGAGTCTGCTGAGGAGGGGGGAAATCAGGATGCAGTTCAGGGCAAAGGTACCTACCTGGATATTAGTATTAACCCTGAGAAACATATGCTTTTGTGTTGAGAATTAGGATGGCCCTTAAAATGCGATTACCTGCTAATTTAACAATTTACTGTGATTCAGGGGTACGCCGTACGAACACTCCTGTTATTGATGGGGATTTTATTCAGTTCACACAGTATACACCGTGATATGAATCTGAATCCGTCTCATCTACTTCCCTCCTTCCAGCCAGTGCAGCCAAAGGGAAAGTGCAGCAGGCCAAAGCCAAAGCCCAGAAGAAGAAGGAAGAGAGGGAGAGGAGGAACAAGGGAAGGGCTCAGGGAGGAGAGGAACTGAGGGAGGACAACGATGACAGCTCCTCCACCACCACAGAGAACTCCAACCCAGACATAGTAGAGGACAACAAAAGGAGGAAGAAAGATGAAACTCCTGAAGCTTACTGCAAATCTAAGAACAAGAAGCCAGCAGCCATTACAAAGGAGAAGAGCCAAACGGATGCAAAGTCTAGGTGGGTTTTGGTTTGGTTCCTCTTTGGTTATTCCGGCTTGTACACGTTTCTCTCAATTCAAATTCTGACATGCTCCGCTCTTAATACGTTTTGTAGCCCAGGAGTAATCTGACATGCGTGAAAAAGAGGGCCAGCACTCACAAATAAAGCATTCCTTTTATTTTGTATTATTCAGACGTGATTGAGGTTCCAGACATTGACCACTTTATTCCATGTTGTTTTTCCACAGCTCCCTGGAGCTTCCATACGTCACCCCACTGGAAAACAAGCGCAAGAGCTTCAATTCCAAGAACATGGTGGCGGTGCAGCAGGCCCTGGCCAGCAGCTCAACAACAACAATCACGCCAAGACCCATACCTCCTAAACCAAGAGGTCAGTTACCTTTCCAGCTAACTGAACTTTGACCTTTTGTTTTCTCACGTTGACATGGCAAAAGTTTTCTCTTGTTTGGATTCTACCTGCCTTTTTTCTGTTGACTTGGGACATACCTCTTCAGCACTGTGTGGGTTTATGTCAGGTTATGTTTAAGTATAGTAAGTGACCCTCTATGCCCTTTCATTCCCCTTCTCATACCCCAGTGCCTCGTGGGAAGCTGGAAGACTTCCGCCCCACTCTCCTGGCTAAGTTCCTGTCCAACGGCCCGGTGGTGCAGGAGCTGGGGAACAGCAGCGGCTCAGAGGGGGAGAAGGACATCTCTCCTCCCCCAGAGTGGGACTGTGTACCCCTCCACATAGCACACAATGGTGAGTTACCCACTGCACTACCAACACCCCCTCATACCTGCTCCAGACCTGTTTCTTGACACCTTCTTGCATATTAATACTGGTTTTACAATAACTCTTTTAACTCCCTGAATCAAGCATGTATCAATCCAATCTTTCAAATAAGTGTTGTGATAAAGGCAGCCATATGACATGCATCTACCCATTTCTTCTCAGCTGTGGACAGTCTCCAACAGATCTCCCTGCAGACCATGAACGCTGATCCCTTCCTGAAGAGACCCATCGGAACCCCTCCCCCTCCCTCGTCTGATCCCTTCCTGAAGAGATCCGTCGGAACCCCTCCCCCTCCCTCGTCTGATCCCTTCCTAAAGAGACCCATCGGAACCCCTCCCCCTCCCTCGTCTGATCCCTTCCTGAAGAGACCCATTGGAACCCCTCCCCCTCCCTCGTCTGGCTTCTCTCTGTGTGACTCCTATAGCGGCATGGTCAACACTGCTACCAGGTAAACAGACCTACAACAGCAACAACAACAACAGTCTTACATAGCTCTAACATCTTAAACTGATCTAGAAGTCATACAACTAACTGTGTAGTTACCTGTGCCAGAGTGACATGAAACATACACAACCTAATGGGTAATGAAAAGAAGAATGCAAAAAGAATAACCCCAGAATATATATTGAGCAAAATAATCATTTCTAAATACCAAAGTCTTCATTGTTTCTGTGTGTTTTCCAGCGAGGTGGGTCTGATGTCTGCTGCCCCAGGCAGTAAGAACAAGCTGACCAAGTCGGTCTCTGTACCTGGTCAGAACGGGAACCCTACCTTCGCTGCTGTGGCGGCTGGATTCGACAAGAGCCCAGGTTGGTCAGATATCCTGTCTCTGACCACTTCTACCTTCATGCCCCTTCACCCTACACCCTATCCCCTACACCCTCAGCATCTGTGTAGACTTGAGATTATTGGATGCGTCTAAGCAATATGGCCATATAGCCTGTCAAAATCAAATCAAATTAAATTACATTTGTCACATGCTTTGTAAACAGCAGGTGTGGACTAACAGTGAAATGCTAACTTACGGGACCTTCTCCATAATGCAGAGAGAAATAAAATAGAGAAATAATAGAAACATAAAACACGTTATAATAAAGTAATAATAAATTGAGTAACAATAACGTGGCTAATACACGGGGTACCAGTACCTAGTCCATGTGCAGGGGTACAAGGTAATTGAGGTAGGTATGTACATATAACTAGGAATAAAGTGACAGATAACAAATGATAGCAGCAGTGTATGTGATGAGTCAAAACGTTAGTGCAAAAAGGGTAAATGCAGATAGTCCGGGTAGCTATTTGACTAACTAACTATTTAGCAGTCTTATTGCTTGGGGGTAGAAAGGTCCTGTTGGTTCCAGACTTGGTGCATCGGTACCGCTTGCTGTGTGGTAGTAGGAAGAACAGTCTAAGACCTCAGTGGATGGAGTCTTTGACAATTTTTCTCTGATACCGCATGGTATAGAGGTCCTGGATGGCAGGGAGCTCGGTCCCAGTGATGTACTGGGCCTTACGCACAACCCTCTGTAGCGCCTTGCGGTCGGATGCCAAGCAGTTGCCATACCAAGCGGTGAGGCAGCCAGTCAATATGCTCTCAATGGTGCAGCTGTATAACTTTTTGAGGATCTGAGGGCCCATGCCAAAGCTTTTCAGCCTCCTGAGGGGGAAGAGGCACTATCGTGCCCTCGTCACGTTGGTGTGTGTGGACCATGATCGATCCCCCGTGTTGAGGATCAGCGTGGCGGATGTGTTGCCTACCCTCACCACCTGGGGGCGACCCGTCAGTAAGTCCAGGATCCAGTAAGAGAGGGAGGTGTTCAGTCCCAGGGTCCTTAGCTTAGTAATGAGCTTGGAAGGCATTAACACTGAGCTGTAGTCAATTAACAGCATTCTCACATAGGTGTTACTTTTGTCCAGGTGGGAAAGGGCAGTGTTGATGCAAAAGAGATTGCGTCATCTGTGGATCTGTTCGGGTGGTATTGAATTGGAGTAGCTCCAGGGTATCTGGGATGATTGTGTTAATGTGAGCCTTTCAAATAATTTCATGGCTACAGATATGAGTGCTACAGGGCGATATTCATTTAGGCAGGTTACCTTGGCGCTCTTGGGCACAGGGACTATGGTGGTCTGCTTGAAACATGTAGGTATTACAGACTGGGTCAGGGAGAGGTTGAAAATGTCAGTGAAGACATTTGCCAGCTGGTCAGTGCATGCTCTGAGTACGCGTCATGGTAATCTGTCTGAAACCATGAATTTAGACATGTTTAAAGGTCTTACTCACATTAGCTACGGAGAGCATGATCACACAGTCGTTCGGAACAGCTGCTGCTCTCATGCATGGTTTAGTGTTGCTTCCCTCGACGCGAGCATAGAAGGCATTTAGCTCGTCTGGTAGGCTCGCGTCATTGGGCAGCTTGCGGCTGGGTTCCCCTTTGTAATCCGTGATAGTTTGCAAGCCCTGCCACATCTGACGAGCGTCAGAGCCGGTTGTAGTAGGATTCAATTATTTGATGGTTAGTCAGAGAGTGTAGTAGGATTTCTTATAAGCGTCCGGATTAGTGTCCAGCTCCTTGAAAGCGGCAGCTCTAGCCTTTAACTCAGTGCGGATGTTGCCTGTAATCCATGGCTTCTGGCTGGGATATTGTACGTACGGTCACTGTGGGGATGACGTCGTCGATGCAATTTTTAATGAAGCCGTTGACTGATGTGTTAAAGTCCTCAATACCATCGGATGAATCCAGGAACATATTCCAGTCTGTGCTAGCAAAACAGTCCTGTAGCTTAGTATCCACTTCATCTGACCTCTTCCGTGTTAAGCGCGTCACTGGCACTTCTTGTTAGAGTTTTTGCTTGTAAACAGGAATCAAGAGGATAGAGTTATGGTCAGATTTGCCAAATGGAGGCAGAGGAGAGCTTTGTATGTGTTTCTGTATGTGGAGTAAAGGTGATCTAGAGTTTTTTTCCGCTTCTAGTTGCACAGGTGACATGCTGGTAGAAATTAGGTAAGACTGATTTAAGTTTCCCTGCATTAAAAGTACCAGCCACTAGGAGCGCCGCTTCTGGATGAGCATTTTCTTGTTTGCTTACGGCCTTATACAGCTTGTTGAGTGCGGTCTTAGTGCCAGCATCGGTTTGTGGTGGTAAATAGACAGCTGCGAAAATATAGATAAACTCTCTTAGTAAATAGTATGGTCTACAGCTTATCATGAGACGAGCAGAACCTCAACTTCCTTAAAGGGTTACTTTGGGATTTTAGCAATGAGGCCCTTTTATCTAGTTCCCCAGAGTCAGATGAATTCGTGGACACCATTTTTATGTCTCTGCAAGCCTTTTAGTAGATACCCATAAACTTCCAGTCATTGTGATAACACTAGTTAGCATTGGCTCGCAAAACTACGTCTAACTTCTGTCATTTTCCGTTAGGAAAATGTGGCGTGGGACATTTGACCGGCAACATTTTTTATTTACCGGACATTTGAGAAATGTATTGGACCTATATGCATTGGGTGCATAACCTGATTAGGGCGTCCACCCACGGTGCTCAGAATGACAGAAATCACATTCTGATTATGGTAATTCATATTAACAGAACATGCATGTCGAGGATGCAACGATTTGCAGTCTTACCGAGTTCTGATATGCACTTTGAAGATGTTAGAATAACTGTCCACATTGAACTTTTCCTCAGCCAACAAGACAAGTAACGAACAGCAAAATCACTAGCCTATTTCAATCTACTATCCCCCATAGTAGAAAGGTTTACCTATTCTATTGGTCAGCTTGTTGAGAAAGAAATGGCCTATTCCAAACAGACCCTGGGACAGTTGTGGGACAATAGATCCCAAATTCATACAACCAGTAGGCATAAAAATAAATAATTAAAAAGGATGAGTCTGATGCAACAGATCAGAACGGTTACCTTAAAATGTTGATAAACTATTGTTTCTTCACATTATAAACACAGCAATGAGCACAAGGCAGTAGTCTACGTGTGAAGGTTCGTTCCATAATGCAATTAGCAGGAAAACGCTGTTGTCAAAAGGGCAGCGAACATGCGAGCGGTTTCATGTGACCGAGATAAAATGTAGAAAGAAAAGAGATCTAATAGGCTACTTTGAAGCAAGGTAAGACATGCCTCAGATGTATTAAAACATTCAGGTTTCAAACAATTAAATATGTTTTCAAAATGCATACTGCCTTCAGCTCATTGTTGCTAAGGGGAATGTGACGCGCTGATGAAGCCTGCCTTCCGTTGCAGTTTGAGATGCAGCAGCTCTCGCGCTGTCTGACCACTCAAGGACTCTGTAGCTGTCCAATAGGACAGATCAGATCCATAATGAGGATACTGTACGCACACGGCAATTGAATTCCACTAAATTATGCAAATTACCTATAGACCGATAAGCATGACCAGTCAAATGTATTTAGGCTAAAAAGCATTATTTCGCAATGGTATTTTTTCTTCTTGGCACCACTTTTATTTATCAGCTTTTCAAAAAAAATTATAGGCCAAAAGTCTGCTATTACCGGCTAATGGAAACCCTGACATAGACATAAAAATGGGATCCACGACTTCATCTGACTCTGGGGAAGTAGATAAAGGGCCTCCTTTCCAAAATCCCCAAGTATCCCTTTAATATTAATATTAGAGATCGCGCACCAGCTGTTGTTAACAAAGAGACACGCAGCTCCAAGGTGGAGTTCTTACCATATCTCTTCTACCTATCCAATCCTTTCACCTCTACACAAGTGTCCAGGGGGAAGGGGTTGATATGGGAGTCAATGTGTCCACTCCTGTATCAGTTGTGCTAACCTGCTGCTGTTCTCTCCTCCGACCACCAGGTTGCAGCAGCAGTGCAGGGAAGGCGGCTGTGGGGAGCAGAGACAGAGATGTCCTCCAACACCTCTCCTCTGTAGAGAGTGATGGATCAGACAGCTCGGGGTTGTGGAGCCCTGTAAGGAACGGCAGGAGACCCAGCCTCAGCTCTGTCAACTCCTTCTCAGCCTTCGGACCCAGCAACACCTTCAACCTGTCTGGAGGTAAGCAGTCAGAAAAGCAGCCAGAATAGCTTGTGAAATGCATGAATATGTCTAATCGGGACACAATAGCACCTGCACTCTGTACACTCTCTTGAGCATCTTCAGAGCGTCTTTCGAGATAAGATCGCATGGAATAATGTGTTGTGATCTGTTTCATGGTGTAGGGCCCGGAGTCTTTCATGGACATGTGACTTGTCCAGGAAAACAAGGACATAGACAAGGCTGTTTTAAATGAACTACACTGAGTGTACAAAAAAATTACAAACTTTCCATGACATAGACTGATCAGGTGAATCCAGGTGAAAGCTATTATGTCAGTGTAGCTGAAGGGGAGGTGAAAGGTTAAAGAAGGATTTTTAAGCCTTGAGACAATTGCGACATGAATTGTGTAGTGTGCCATTCAGAGGGTGAATGGGCAAGACAAAATATTTACAGTGCCTTCAGAAAGTATTCCCACTTTTTTTATTTTTATTTATTTTTTACAGCCTGAATTTAAAATGGATTAAATATAGATTTTTTGCCTCTGGCCTACACACAATTCCCCATAAAGTCAAAGTGGAATTCTGTTTTTAGATTTAAAGAAAATATATTATAATAAAAAATGAAAAGCTGAAATGTATTAAGTCACATAATAAGTTGCATGGACTCACTCTGTGTGCAATAATAGTGTGTAACATTTTTTAATGACTACCTCAGCTCTGTACCGCACACAATTATCTGTAAGGTCCCTCAGTCGAGCAGTGAATTTCAAACCCAGATTCAACCACAAAGACCAGGGAGGTTTTCCAATGCCTCACAAAGAAGGGCAGAAGGGTAGATGAAAAGCAGACAGTGAATATCCCTTTGAGCCTGGTGAAGTTATTCATTACACTTTGGATGGTGTATCAATACACCCAGTCACTACAAAGAGACAGGCATCCTTCTTAACTCAGTTGCCGAAGTGGAAGTAAACCACTCAGGGAATTCACCATGACGCCAATGGTGACTTAAATCTGCTTGAAAATCTATCACAAGACTTGAAAATGGTTTTCTAGCAATTATCAACAACCAATTTGACAGAGCTTGAAGAATGTTGAAAAGAATAATGGTAAAATATTGTACAATTCAGGTGTGCAAAGCTCTTAGAGACTTAACCAGAAAGACTCACAGCTGTAATTGCTGCCAAAGGTGATTCTAACATGTATTGACTCACTGGTGTGAATACGTATGCATTCATACCCCTGAATGTAAATTCATTTTCAGTATATTTGCAAACATTTCTAAAAACATTGTCATTATGGGGTATTGTGTGTAGATGGGTGAGAAAGAAAATCTATTTAATCCATTTTGAATTCAGGCTGTAACACAACAAGATGTGGAATAAGTCTAGGGGTATGAATACTTTCTGAAGGCACTAAGTGCCTTTTGAACAGGGTATGGGAGAGTGTGTCAAGAACTGCAACGATGCTGCATTTTTCACGCTCAACCGTTTCCCGTGTGTATCAAGAATGGTCCACCACCCAAAGGACATCCAGCCAACTTGATACAACTGTGGGAAGCATCGGATTCAACATGGGCCAGCATCCCTGTGGAACGCTTTCGACCCCATGTAGTCCATGCCCCGACAAATTAAGACTATTCCGAGGGCAAAAGGGGATGCAACTCAATATTAGGAATGTATTCCAAATGTTTTGTACACTCACTGTATATGGAAACCAGTTGACGTTTGACTGTGCTGTGTAGTGTTCAGTGGGATGACCTCGGGGAGGAGTGCTATGGAGCCACAGCAGAGTTGGCCTGAGTTCAGACATGCCACCCCGTCCGTCTGGCCAAGCGAGACCCTGCAGCCTCTACAGCCCTGGTCGATCCAGCCCAGCTCCAGCTCCCCTGCCACCCCCACCACGGTGAGTCCTCTTTCACTGCTCCATTACTTCGTCTCTCCTGACACCTTACAGTATTCCCCATGTAGTGCACTACTTTTGACCAGAGCCACATAGATTGCACTACTTTTGCATCCCTATGTGGAATGCTGTAGGATGGCTGTCAAGAGAGACGCAGGCTATTTCACAGGTGAAACGGGGTGTGATGTGGGACGTATACATGGGCTCCAGAAATGTCTTCAGTGTTGGAGTCACGCTCTTCATTTTTAGTTAAAGGCCCAGTACAATCAAAAATGTGATTGTCCTGTATTTATTATATATATATATTTCCACACTGAGGTTGGAATAATACTGTGAAATTGTGAAAATGATGCTAATGCCCTTTTTTTTTGTCTAAGAGCTGTTTGAAAAGAATGCCTGACATTTCAGCCTGTTTTGGTAGGAGGGAGTTTTGGCCTTCCATGGTGACATCGCCATGCGGTAAATTAGTTAATAGACCAATAGGAAAGAGAGTTCCAAACCTCTCTGCCAATAACAGCTAATTTTAAGTTTTCCCCTCCCCACTCAGACCACTCTGACAGTTGCTAAGAAGATATTTTGTTTATTTTAGACCATTTTTAATTGAAAACAATCACCGTATGTTTAATTGTTACCCAGAAATTATTTGATATTGAGACAAAAATGGCTGCATTGGACCTTTTTAATGCCTGTTCCACAAAGTCCCTAACCATCAGCCTCTCTCTCTCTCTCTATATCCAGTCCATCCTGGGCAGCAGTAGCCTGTGGGGCTCCAGCCCTCCATTCAGCCCCTCCATCTGGTCCACCAGCGCCCCGTCTGACTCCCCCCTACACTCCTTCTCTCCTCCCTCTGCCTCCCCCCTGACCGATATGATGGGTAGCACAGACAGTGGAACCACGCTCCCGGCCCAAACAAAGCCCTCCCCCACGCAGCTGAGCCCCTCCTACAACCCCTGGAGCATGTGGAGGCCCACCTTCAGTAGACGAAGCTCGGAGCCCTGGCCCAACCAATCAGACAGCAGCACCGGCTGAAGGGGACGTCACCGCGGTCTCCTCCCACTGACAGACTGAGAAGAAGACGGATGCATTCTCCCCTGTTTTGAATTTCACCAAATTCCTATTATAATGTACACATTGGTTCTCTAAGCAAATTATGTCCTCGGAATTAGTTTCTATGACCACTTGGCCAAACTTATCAACAAAACAATATTAGAAGAAGAGTCACCATAATGTCCTTATCAGACTGACATAATGTGGTTAAATGCGGCTGCTTTTTTCAAATACATCCTCAGTAATGTTTTTGATAGCAGTGACGGACCTAAGTGCAATCAGGAAAAACCTGAGAAATAATATTCTGTTCATTATTTAGTACTACTGCTGTTTTGGTGTTACAGTAGAGTTACTTTTTGGAATCAAGCACATTGTTTAAGCCTTATCATTGCTCTATTAGAGAGATTATTATTTAAGGGTTAAAATCAGTTAAGACTGGCAGTAAAGGGATTTTTTTGGGGGAAATAGTCATTTTCATGACTGCTGTATCAAGTCGATGCCAATGGCATCAGAAGACCATGACTGTCAGTTTCTATACCATCGCAAGCCTGAACACAATTTTATTTTGTCAAACAACTCAACATTCATGGTCAATATTGGCGAGAGATGCTTTTTAAGTTATTTTAATGACCACGCTAAGTTTTTAAAGTCAGTTAAAGGAGAGGGTTTTCAGTTACTTTTTAAACATTTTGAAAAATGTTGGTTGATACTAAGCTTCCCCTCGTTCTGACATGTTGGAAATGTGGGACATTTGTCACATCTTCCATATAAAACATATGAGACAGTTGTCATGGTGTAAAATGTGCTTTATTTGGTATTATGTATGCGTTTATTCCTTTTTAACTCCCATTGTCTAATCAATGCTACTTCTTGAGTCAATAGCTAAGGGTGGTAGGTAGCCTAGCGGTTAAGAGCGTTTGGCCAGTAACTGAAAGGTCGCTGGTTAGAATCCCGAAGCCGACTAGGTGGAAAATCTGTCCGTGCCCTTGAGGATGGCACTTAACCCAAATTGCTCCTGTAAGTCGCTCTGGATAAGAGTGTCTGCTAAATGACTAAAATGTACATGTGTAACCTCCATTCCTCTGCTCCTCCCTCTCTTCCAATATCACCTTTTCGAGTTGTTTCAGGTCTGCTCCACTAGATGGCAGCACAGCTCTAGAATAGGATAATATACGACAGAATAGGCAGGTTGTATTGAAGGCAGCTTGTATCTGGTGGCTGTCTGTGCCTGATCTAGGGTGTAATAATTAGTCCAAACAGTTGCAAACAAGAGTTTCTATTGGACAAATGCATGTAGGTTTATCACCGTTTCATTCAGTTTCCTCCGTTCTTAAGAAAATATTTTTAACAGAGTCGGCGGAATGAATACACCCCTGATCACCCGCACACACAGTTCACTTTCATAGCCAGATACAAACAGCATCATCACTTTGCTTGTTGTATAATTCCTTCTTGCATCTACACGCTCTCCTCTCATCTTTTCACTTCGCTTGTGGACTTCAGTGCACAACACAGCAGCTGTCTGTGACCAGGTGAAAAAACCTTTCCAAGCCAAACCTTCATACCACATAACTGCTAACCACTACACCCAGCCTACATCGTTGTCAATGTCACTATATTATTTAACATTATGCAGCCAGCTAAGTGAAAAAAATACAATGAAATGTAGGAAGCTAGCTCTCTCTGCTGCTTCTCCTTCAATTTGGAAGAAATTAATTTGTTCAAAACAGTTCAACTATTATCTTTCTCTTTGAGTCAACTACTCACACATTTTATGCACTGCAGTGCTAGCTAGCTGTAGTTTATGCTTCCAGTACTAGATTCATTTTCTGATCCTTTGATTGGGTGGACAACATGTCAGTTCATGCTGCAAGAGCTCTGATAGGTTGGAGGAAGTCCTCTGGAAGTCGTCATAATTACTGTGTAAGTCTATGGAAGGGGGTGAGAACCATGAGCCTCCTAGGTTTTGTATTGAAGTCAATGTACCCAGAGGAAGACTGAAAATAGCTGTCCTCCGGCTACACCATGGTGCTACCCGAGAGAGTACTGTTGAGGCTAGTGTACATTTTTTAGACTTTCATTGCAAAACAGTGTGTTTTAATCAGTTATTTGGTGACGTGAATATATCTAATATAGTTTTATCTAAAAAGGATAACTTTTTGAATGTTTTAAATATTTATATTTTCTGAAATTCACTAAGTCGGATGGTCCTCCCCTTCCTCCTCTGAGGAGCCGCCACTGCTTGTATCATATTACTCCGACAAGGTACCTGATATGACGCTTACCCATGCAGAATCAGATCTACTGTGTACAGTGTAGTGTATACAACAAGTTCCCCACAATGGGTGTAGCCTAATTCTCTTAGTACCTCTTACAACCGAGGACTGCTTTATTAACAGTATGCGAAGATGAATAAATCCAGAGTGATTTCTCTATAGACCAACTGATGTTGACAAGACGCTGGGGTTCTAGGTGGACTAAGGGCTATGGAGAGACTGTCTCTAGTACATGTCTGTCCTCTGTTTAGAGAAGAATCCAGATATCAGTGGCTGTAACATACCAGGTATTATCTCTGCTATAACAGTATTAAGTCATTTCTTCCCCTCGTTCCGTTTTAGTGTACATCCATTCTGTACGTCACACATTCTCTTTCAACTGCCATTTTATCCATAATGTACTACATATGTTTGTTGTTTAGAAAACTGAAAATGTGTAAATAAGAATATATACAGTTGCAGTTTAAATAATTCCCACTTCTAAAATAAGTTTAAATGTAAAAAAATGGGGTGCTTTTTGATGCGTGTTTGGGGTCATTGTCCTGCTGGAGGAACCACAACCTTCAATGGAGACCCCGTTTTTGGACACTGGGTTGAACGTTGACTTCAAAACACCTAATAATCTGCTGATTTCATGATGCTTTGCGCACGTAGCAGAAGCAGTAAAGGAACCTCACAGCGTTATCAAACCTCCCTATCTGTGATTGTAGGGAGGGTGTTCTTTTCATTGAATGCTTCATGTGGTCATCAGTAAACACAGCACTGATTTGTATTGCCAAATAGCAATTTTTGTTATTGGCTTGTTTAGGTGGGTTTCAATCTCTGTCTCTGTTTGAAGGTTGTGGGTCTTCCAGCAGGACAACAACTCCAAACATACAGTGCATTCTGAAAATATTCAGACCCCTTGACTTTTTCCACATTTTGTTACGTTACAGACTTAGTCTAAAATGGATTAAATATTAAATACACGCAATACTCCATAATAACAAAGCAAAAACAGTTTTTTAGACATTTTTGCTAATTTATTAAAAATAAAAAAACGATACCTTATTTACATACGTTTTCAGACCCTTTGCTATGAGACTCGAAATTGAGCTCCGGTGCATCATGTTTCCATTGATCATCCTTCAGATGTTTCTACAACTTGATTGGAGTCCACCTGTGTTAAATTACATTGTTTGGACATGATTTGGAAAGGCACACACCTGTCTATATAAGGTCCCACAGTTGACAGTGCATGTCAGAGCAAAAACCAAGCCATGAGGTCTAAGGAATTGTCCGTAGAGCTCCTAGACAGGATTGTGTCACAGACCTGGGGAAGGGTACCAAAAAATGTCTGTAGCATTGAAGGTCCCCAAGAACATGGTGGCCTCCATCATTCTTAAATGGAAGAAGTTTGGAACCACCAAGACTCTTCTTAGAGCTGGCCACCCAGCCAAACTGAGCAATCGGGGGAGAAGGGCCTTGGTCAGGGAGTTGACCGAGAACCCGATGATCACTCTGACAGAGCTCCAGAGTTCCTCTGTGGAGATGGGAGAACCTTCCAGAAGGACAACCATCTCTGCAGCACTCCACCAATCAGGCCTTTATGGTAGAGTGGCCAGACGGAAGCTACTCCTCAGTAAAAGGCACATGACAGCCCGCTTGGAATTTGCCAAAAGACACCTAAAGGACACTCAGACCATGAGAAACAAGATTCTCTGGTCTGATGAAACCAAGATCGAACTCTTTGGCCTGAATACCAAGGGTCACGTCTGGAGGAAACCTGGCACCATGGTGGTGGCAGGGTCATGCTGTGGGGGTGTTTTTCAACGGCAGGGACTGGGAGACTAGTCAGGATCGAGGGAAATATTAATGGAGCAAAGTACAGAGAGATCCTTGATGAAAACCTGCTCCAGAGAGCTCAGAACCTCAGACTGGGGCGAAGGTTCACATTCCAACAGGACAATGACCCTAAGCACACAGCCAAGACAATGCAGGAGTGGCTTCGGGAGAAGTCTCTGAATGGCCCAGCCAGAGACCGGATTTGAATCCTGATTGAACATCTCTGGAGAGACCTGAAAATAGCGGTGCAGTGACACTCCCCATCCAACCTGACAGAGCTTGAGAGGATCTGCAGAGAAGAATGGGAGAAACTCCCCAAATACAGGTGCGCCAAGCTTGTAGCGTCATACCCAAGAAGACTCGGCTGTAATCGCTGCCAAAGGTGCTTCAACAAAGTATTGAGTAAACGGTCTGAATATTTATGTAAATGTGATATTTCCGTTTTTTATTTGTAATACATTTGCAAAAATAAAAAATAAACGGTTTTTGCTTTGTCATTATGGGGTATTGTATGTAGATTGATGAGGTGGGAAAAAAAACAATTTAATCCATTTTAGAATAAGGCTGTAACCTAACAGAATGTGGACATAGTCAAGGGGTCTGAATACTTTCCGAATGCACTGTACATCAAAAGCATCCTGGAGTGGTTCAAGAAGAGATGCCGGAGTGGCCAGCGAAGAGTCCAGATATGAATCACATCCATAACCTATGGCAAGAGCTGAAAACAGCACTTGTCAGAGAGCTGAAAACAGTACTTGATGGAGGGCACCCCTCAAACTTTTAAGTATTAGAGCAGTTTGCTGCTGAAGAGTGGACCAAATTGCCAGTAGAAAGGTGCAGCAAGCTCGTTGATGGCTACAATAACCATTTGTTGGCAGTTAT